ATAATTCCAATGATGTAATTAGATGCTTTTATTATGTCAATACGTTAATACCGAAAAAACACGTACAGACAGGGTTGTTATGCAGGTTTCTTAATTTGTGTGGGTATGGAAAGTCTTCAATTGCTTCTAGTCTACCATTGTTGTGGTTCAAAGCAACTGAAATCAGCTGCATTACGAATATCAACTCTGCTTGTAAGTTACTGAAAGATAGAGATAAAAATTCATGTCTCGCAAAAAAGAGGTGAAAAGAAAAATTTTATTGCATTTCTTAATCAAAATAATTAGAAATACAACAAAATATCTTATTTTTGAAGCTTTAAGCGCTTGAGAAATTCGGCTACCTCGCATTTTAGAGTACTTACTTTTTCAACATTGTTTTTATGTGTGAACATTAAATGAAATCCATTTTGTTATTAATTCAATTTTTCTTAATGGCTCTTTTTGTCGCGAATAATTTAAATAAATGCACACGAGACACATTAATGAAATTGACATAAAAAATATTGTTTCAATTATGAGTTAATCCAGTCGTGTTAATTAGGTGAGTAATACAGAGCATTTGTCAACAGTGTTAAGAATATTAATCATGTTACTAAACTTCATTCACATAAGTTGTGAATCAGCTAAATTGCAATTTTTATTAGCAATTAAAATATGAATAAGTTTTTCATGTACACATAGATGTGCATAATAGCTCTTTTGAAATTCGACTTATTCTTCTTCATTTGAAATGTTATTGTGATTTTAGCAATGATTTTGCATGCTAATGATGTTTTTTTTATGGCTCATGTCATATACCAAGGCTAGACTTTAAGTCTTCATAAGTTGAGATTTTTTGAAATAAAATATATAACGGCTTTTTTAAATTTGAATTTTATCGCTACATGAGAACTTGAATTTTTTTCGAATAAAACATAAAATTTGAATTTCAAGAAACCGTTAATAATTGAATTATTTCAGCTCAGCCAATAATTTTCAATAATAGCACTAAGATTTTAAATAATTAATTTCAAAATAAACTCACCATCATGTCAATTAACACACAAACCTAATAATTTTTTTCGTTCAGCATAATTCAACACATAACTCAAAGTATTTACGAAAAATAAAGTTTAATTCCATCATAATTATTTAAATAACTGCATGTGCTCTTTTCCGTCTTAATTTATTGTATTATGGGGAAAAAGCCACATACGAACATCTTGATTATCATCTAATTGCATCGACATAAAAAACTTTGAACATAAGCCATGATTATGCTTAGAATGTGAGGCTGCCTGCATGGCATCATTATTGAAGTTTCAAAACACTCAAATAAGTACAATTAAGCTTATTGAAAGATTAAAAAAGTGGTCAATTATTGAGATAAGCTTGTTGATTTATCGGGAAGCTAAACAATGGATTAATATGACCAGAATTGGTGTTTGTTTATGAAGGAATATGGCAGAGAAATAATAATTCATTGCATAATGCAGTACGGTGCAGCACGATGATGTTTATTGAATAAAAGAAGTTATGAATCGAAATTAATTTTGAGAGGAAGGAATGGGCGCATTTTTAAGCTAGTTTGGGGGTCATTATGTATTAAGGCAACCAACAGGCAAGGGAAGGGTTCTTAAGCTTTGTAACAACACTAATCCAAAACCTTTAAAAAGTATGCCATGTCAAAAAATCATCACCAAGTTCATTATTTCCAAAACTTAACCACAAAACATCAAATTTTCTTCTTTAATACTTCCAACCGAGCAGACCATGATCCTAATTTAATAATTTCGTCAAAATTTTGCCAACAATAATCAGCAGTCAAGTACAAAGCACCTCATTTATCTGCTAAAAAGTTGTGCTAACATGTTAAGATGTAATAAAAAGTTATTGTAAATGGCAAAGAAATGCATGAAGCAAAGAAGTAAAATCAATAAATTCAATGGCCTAAGCAATTTCTATGTCAATGATTTTTCTGTCTGATACAATTTTATTTTTCCTTTCATTGCAAATTAGAGACTTGCATATGTGCAGACATGAAAATTTATTTCCATCATTAATTTTATTGCAAATTCAAATATCAAACAAAGACTTTGTTTAAGACTCGGTTGACTGTCCTACCTTAACATTATAATTATTATGCCTTCCTGTGATCATCACCCGAGCAATTTATGTAACCAGAATTGTTAATCACCAAAGCATCATTAACATGAGTCTAATACCGCATTTGATTGACGCACGAGATGCAGTTGCAGCAATGTAAAGGACTCGACGCCATTCTCACATGTTGCCACATTTTGAAAATATTATTAATATTAAATGTTAATTTAAATACCAATAACATCAGCTCTTGACACTTATTCATTGCATTTTAATTTTTTTTAAGTGAGTCTGTCTCGAGACGGCTGCATTATTCAGCAATGTTCATTAAGAAATAAGCTGCGCTTTACAGAAATAAGCACAAGAATTGAGAGTTGTGAAAGGTCATAGCGATTACATTCAGGATTAAGCTGGTGTTAATTAAAGTGGACTTTGGGGCCGTTCACTTATGACGTCCATGGGGGGGCGGGGGGGGGGGGGGGGTCAGCAAGAAAAGAGCAATAGAAATTCCTGGAAATCCATTGTTTTTTTGGAAATAAACGTTAATCTCGGACTTAATAAGTGAACAACCCCTAATCAGAATGTTAATCTTGTAACGATTAATTTATATTCGATCAGAACCATGATAAATTTTGAATTCTTGGATTAAGATGAAGTTAAGAACATGTTAATAAGTGAATGAATGCCAGGGGTTGACACGATTTCATTTTTTCATCTTTCCATACAAAAAATTCATCAATTTTCATCTTTCTTCATCTATTTTCATCAATTCGTACAAAAAATTCATCTTCCTTCATCATTTTTATCTTTAAGAATTTCACGTTTTATTTGGTTTGTGAAGTATATAATTTCATACAAATTATCTTAAAAAATCATTTTTTAAAAATATTTATGAAAAATCACTTTTTCACATCCCAAGTAAGGAAATCGAGGCGAAAAATGACTTTTCCGTGGGGTTTTTCATCTCATCGAAGAAAATCTAGTCGAAAAATGACTTTTCCGTGGGGTTTTTCATCTCATCTAAGAAAATCTAGTCGAGAAATGATTTTTCCGAAGGGTTTTTCATCTCATCGAAGAAAATCTAGTCGAAAAATGACTTCCGAGGGTTTTTCATTTCATCTAAGAAAATCTAGTCGAAAAATGACTTTTCCAAGGGTTTTTTTCATCTCATCGAAGAAAATCTAGTCGAAAAATGACTTTTCCGAGGGTTTTTTCATCTCATCGAAGAAAATCTATTTTCGAGGTATTTTTCATACAAACCGAGCTCACCCGAAAATTTCATCATTTTCATCTTTTTATACAAAAAAATTCATCATTTTTCATCATTTTTCATCAATTCATACAAAAATTTCATCTTAACAATAGAAGATCAAGATGAAATCGTGTCAACCCCTGGAACGAAGGAACATGAAAAGTAGAATAAAGTTTACAATTTAAAATCTATTTCAAATCCAAAAACTTCCCGAAATTTCATCGAAAACCTTACAACATGTTTAGTCAATAAACCATGTTGTAAAAGCATAACTTAATTAAAAATTCAATTAACAAATAGATTTATAAAGAAATACGATCTACCTTATGGTGCATAAGCTTGCAAGTAATCTTTTGTAAACAAATGGTCAAGGCAGATATTGTTGAATTAAATTTAATTAGAATCCTTCAATGAAAATCTTGAATAATCACATTAAACTTAAGAACTTGGTCTAGTTTAACATCAATAATCATAAATTATGGACAGCGTGATAACTTTAAATGCTGCAAATAGAAAAGCTGTTAATAAATAACCCAAAATTTCAATAACTTTCATAGATAAGTGATTCGAAAATAAAGCAGAATTCAGGGCAATAAAAAAGAAGTTTGAAGCACGTGATGCTGTTTCGTTTATAAAGCTTGACATAAATTGTAGTTAATAAATGTAAGCATTTGCAAAACCTGCACTAAAATACCTTGTACGTACCAAAAAAAAAACTTATTTCAAAATTCCTCAACTTTTCGAGCAAAAGTAAGTTCGAGAAGTTTCCATCTCACCTCGATTTCTCAATAAACTAAGCTTCATTCCATTTGCGGACGATTTCGACGACTTTAATGTATAGCAAGAGCTTTTTATCTCACTTGTTCACTTAATGAAAATAAAATGTCAAACAAATCACATTACAAAGCAATGAAATTGCGTCAATAAATTTATGAGAGTACGGGAGAGTGAGGAAAACAAACATACAGACATAAATGTAAACAACATCAAGTGTTTAATCATCAAAATTAAAATGATAAAATAATCATAACTCCTGTGGAACTAATGTAAATGAAAAGCTTCGCATCATTATCGACCGTCTGCTGTTGGCTACATAAAAACAACAATCTTCATATTTAATAAGCAATTTTTGACATACTTATACATACAGTACGAGACAACAGCATAAGCGAGAGCAAGCTCGCACACACAACTGCAAGTGAATAAAAGAAATAATGGTGAGTAGACGAAACTTTCCAGACAGCAATATTGAAGCTTTTAAACTTCAGTCTTAGTTCGATCGTAGAAGAAGCAAGTCGTAAAATAATTTTGATCAGAAGTCGATTTAAAACGTGTTTTGTTGTCCATAAAATTCAATATTAGTGAAATAAGTTTTTTTTAAAGAAAGGTGAAAAAGTTTCTACATGCAAAAAAAAGAAGTGTCGTTCCTACTCAAGCTATCTTGTTTAAGTGAAATTCTCATTATATATATTTATTGACGCGAGCAGTTTAATTAAAATAGTAAAAAAGAAATATTCAAGCCTCAGGAAATTAGATCATGAAGGAGAAAGAAAGAAAATTTTTACATGCTTAATTTATTATTTTTTTGTGAAGTTGCAAAGTGAATTAAAATTTTAATTTTGACAAAAGACTGACCACGAAACAAAATATTTCCTATAAATAATCAAAATTGATTATCCACGAAGTTGTGATATGATTTTAAGTGGTAAGCATTTGAATAGCGTGTAGAAGCAGCATAAGACTATGCAGTTGATTACGGAAATGAAGCTATAAAAGCGCGAAAAATGCTATTGCAAATAAATATATATGTTGAATTTGAAGGCGAAGCTCTTGTGTAATCTAAAATGAAAAAATATATTTTTCAAAGCTCAATCGTATAATTTAATTGTCATATTCGGAGTTGCTTTTGAGAGACAGCTGATCGTAAATAGTATTATGAAATATATCCCATGAGATATCGATCAATTATGAGCTTTTTAGTGGGAAATGACAGGCTTAACATTTATTTTCGTGAACCTATCAAGACAGAAATTTTGTCAGTTTAATGTCAATGCACCGATCTCATGTAAAACAACAATTGTATGATCGGATATGACAAGTTTATTAAATATTTTAAAGTCAACAAAATTTTTATGAATAATAAATCATTTCAGGCTTGATTTGGAAGTTACTTTTTAATGATTGGATCTCTTTGTGTTGGAGTTGTTATTGTTTTGAATGTGAATTAATGAAGTTTGTAATGGATATTGGTATATCTTGTGACCGAAGCAATGTTCTAGTTACAATCAAACTTTTTTCAATCGTTTGATCATTTTATAAGCATGAAATCTTTTAAAAGAATCTTTAATTCTTTGAATTGTCTAACAAAAGATTTAGTTCTCATGTCTTGAAAAATCTTTGATGATCACTTTTTGTTGGAAACAAACACTAGATAATCATCATTTTTGTACAAACAAATGAATAACTTTATTTCCTATTAAATTATAAAAAAATTTTAAAAGATGATTTTGAAATTGAATAGATTCCAACCTAGTTTGCTATTCATAAGCCATAAAATAAGCAGTTCACTTAAAAAATCTTGATGATTACTGCAATTACTCTTGGTAAAGCTCAAATATTTTAAAATTACCAAAATAAATCCAATGGTAACAAATAACAATAACTCTTGCCAATTTATTATTTCGTCTTACTTAACATTTAAATGATTTCTGATTCAATTGAGTTAGATTGCATCCTGAAAATTTAATTTTTTAAAATGTTGTTTATAAATTTGTCAGTAAAATTGGATTTAAAATCGGTATCATGCTCCTTTATTTATGATATCTTAAGATCCAGGCACACAGTTAAGATTAAGATTCTACCTAAGAGATAAATCATATTCTTCAGAACATCATCTTGTAAGACGTAACTTGATTCTATAAATGTTGAAAATTAAAGTTATCATTCAAGCTACTTGATTTCATGATTAATCCATAATAATTCCAAAAAAACCTAAATTCAAAAATTTCTCACATTCAATTGAATTTTCTCGATTGAAATATACAATTAAGAATGTGAGAAAACCGCATTTAATTGCACAAAACTACAAAAGAATCTACTGATGAATACCATTACAAAAACTATTATGGCATGTGCTTTTATCGATAACGCAAAAGTAAGAAAACAAAACAAAAATAAAACTTTCCTGCACTTCCAATTTGCTTTCTTTCATTTCGTCAGTTTTCGCTTTCATTTTTCTTACTTACGTGCTGTGCTGTGCTCCAAACATTTATTTATTTTATATATTATTTATTATAGGTCTCTTAAATACAGTTTAAACAAGTACAGCACATAGGTATATAATTTTTTATGAGATAATAATAGGCAGTGAAATGAGATGAGATAAGTGAAATGATCTTGTTATGACAAAAGAAAACTGGACATGTAATTTATGGCTTCGTCGCATTTCATGTCATAATATTAACTGTGATATCATTTACTATGCTTAGAAACTTGTCATAGTCTGAAACCGCCTAATATCTCTTCAAAATCGTAGTTTGTGACGTCAGATACCGTATATTGAGTCACAACAGCTCCATGGATCATTGGTTTAGGACTCTAATGATAAAAACAACCTAAGGTTTCATAAGATCAAGTTTCCAAGCCTAAATCATCCATCCTTCTTTCCAAAAAATGCCGAACAAAAATATTCATGTGAAAAACATTAAAAATTCAATCATTGAAGCTTTATCGGTATATTTGACTCATTAGCAGTCAAGGCATCGAACTACCTTGTATAAATTTAACAATTAATTTGAATTCATCTAGTCTGATGACCATAAACTATTAAACAATGCGATTTGCACTCGATATGACAATCATTTTGCAATTAATTTTCTTTGTTTCTTATTTTGGCAATGTCAATTGAATTTTATTTGCTTTTAAACAGCAAGCTGAACTTCTTATAAAGACATGAAGAGAATTTAATTAAACATTATTTAATTCTCATTTCGTAGTGTTATGTCATTTACATATTTTTTCCATGAGACATGGAATGTTAAGGTTGATATAGATGGTAATTAGTTTTGTTGACTTGGTTCTGTTTATGGAATTGTATTGTGACTTAGAAAATTGATTTATTGGTGCTACAAATACAAAACAAGAACGAAGTACAAAATTAATCATTGTAGTCGCAAAAGTAAATTCTTTTGGATATTAAATGATATTCTTGACCTAAAGAAATATTCCTAAAGTTGAACTTAGTGCTTAATGAGCAATTGTTTATAATCCTTTCAATCCATATTCAAAGTAGTGCGTTTGTCATTAGGTAGGGTGACCATCTGCGTAGTTTTACAACGGACAGTCCTGTATTTCAAAACCCTGTCCTGTATAAATTTGAAAATTTTGTTCCAGGTCCTGTTTTTTTTTCACGAAAATTTCCGTTAATTTTCAAATTTTCCTTTGTGTCCTGTATATTTTAGGAAATTTATCAAATGTCCTGTATTTTCATAAAAATTAGATGGTCACCCTATCATTAGGATCCCTTTTTTTAACCTTCAAATCTCAATATTTATGGATCAAAATTCTTAATTTCATGACTTTACAAACAAATCAAGCAATATGCGTTCTATTCTTTACGTCTAATTCCAAAATACCATCAATCAACATCTAAATCTATCAGCTTCGTCAGCAAATTCAACATACAGAATTTTTTAATCACTTGTTAATACCTGATTAGCTAAGGGGTCGTTCACTAATGACGTCCGAAATTAAGGGTCATTTTTCAAAAAAGAACAATAGATTTCCTGGAATTTCTATTGTTCTTTTCTTGCTGCCCCCCCTTCCCTGGACGTCATGAATGAACGACCCCTAATCTAAAAAAATCATATACCTGACAAGTCACCTTAAGAATAGTCGAGCTGCAAAATATAAAAAACCATTTAAACTCATGTTTTCTATCGTTCTATTTTCAGTATTTAAATGATGCTGAGCTTTGAAGCTTCAATTGTAATAATTGCATTAAACTTTGTTTTGACAAAAGCTGGTCCACTTGATTGGGCGAGAGTGGAAATACCCTGGGCAAGAGCTGATCGAAGTAAGTTTGAAGCTGTGGATTTTAGGGCGCTTGTAGAGACTATTAGTGACACTTGGAATATCCAGAGAAGTTAAGATTGAATTAAGGCAAAATGTCATTCCCGGATCAACTTTTTCTTATTTATTTGATCCGGATAAGGCAGTACCTACACAATTTAAAGCAAAGAAAGCCTTAGTCATGCTGAAAGTTAATTAAAAAAAACCGATAAATTGATTTTTTGGAATACCTAAGCCTTGCTGTGTGGATAATTTTGCAACAACATAAAAAATACTAAAATATTTCATTTCTTCTGTTTCTTCCTTAAAGTTCCTATTGACGTAAATTTACCGTGGTTGCCATGTAAGTAATATAAGCGTAATAATTGCATTTTACATTGAATGCGAGGCATTAGGTGTATGAAAAGTTTAAAAACATTAGAAAGACTTGAGTAATTTGTTATGTCCGTTGTATTGAAGGAGATCCGAGAAGTGAAATGTAATGTTTTGGTGTTACTTTCTGAGAAGTGAAGTGATAATTTTTTGCTATTGCTAAAAGTTTGGCGCAGTTTGGCGCAACGTCGAGTATTAAAACAAAATAACTGTTGTTCTGCATTCAAATAATCTGAACAGAAATGAAATGCTGAACTCCTGAACGTTTTCTAAAATTGAAACATTTCTGAAAACAATGTCAACACTTCCGACTAAAAGAACTTGAGATGTGCTAAATCAAATGACATTAAATCATTTAAAACTTCCTATCATGTTGAATCTATAAGCTAGTCCATAATTTCGACTATATTGCTCGGTCTTGACTGCAACAGATCAAAAATTGCGTTATGGTGAAAAAATTGGGCACGAAATAAAAATTAAATAATATGAGCTACCATTTCACGCTTTATTTGCTGAGAAATCGTAATTAAGCACATTAATTAGTCCCACATCTGAGCTCAATTGACCAATTTATTCATGTTTGCTTAAAATTCATGCGAATTCAGTTATTGACTTAACAATCGTCGTCATCTTCAAGTTAATGTTCATGATACCTACTTTTTTTTTATCGATGAGCTTTACTTATCCTTGAAGAATATTAGCATGCAATTACATATGTATCAACACCGACACGGTTTTTTCTTGCCTGAGGTTGTTTCGAGGTGCCAAATAATTATCCATAAATAAAGACACAAAACTTTTTCGAATTTTCGCGAAATGCATTCAAACAAGTGCTTAGCATTGATGTTAATGCCCGTTTATTTAAAAATTGAAATGATTTATCAGATTTAAGTTTCAAAGAGCATTTCAGCGATGAAATCAATATTGATGTGATATGAATCGAAAATTTGAATGTCAACAAAAGTGTTGATTATTATCTTGTAACGTGATTTGTAGAAGACTCTGTTTATTAATGCTGAAGCGATGGTATCGATGAGTTGAAGGAATTTGAAAAAGAGATTAATTTATATTATGGATTAAATCGTGTGACTTTAAGTATTTCCTAGCTGTAAATTCAACTTCCTATCATTAAAACTTAGTAATGCAGTAAATTCGTGTGAATCAATCAAAGTTTTGACTCAAAAATGTTCAGTTTAGTTTAGAAAAGGTTTTGTTTTGAAAGTTTGAAATGAGTTTGATTTTTTTGGTCATTTGATGCAGTTTTTAGGTCTTTTTGCATCTTTGGATGATTTTTGCATCATTTGATGCAGTTTTTAAGTCTTTTTGCATCTTTGGATAATTTTTGCATCATTTGATGCAGTTTTTAAGTCTTTTTGCATCTTTGGATGATTTTTGCATCATATGATGCAACTTGATTAAAGGAATTCAATCATTTAAGTATTTTTTTATTAAAAATTCGACAACTTGATTTGTCAAAACTGAAAGTCACGGTTATTTGAACCTTGTCCAATATAAAATCATCTGGAAGCTTCTCAGAAAAATTAAAAATGTATAAAATTTATGAATAATTTTTATAGCATTTATAAAATCTGATATTTCCTCATAATCGAATATTAAACGGCAGCTTTACAAATTAACATTCAGTAAAATCAATTTTTCCAAAAAGCTGTTTTCTCTCATCAAGTTTGAGTAAATCTTTTGCATATAAATTTAATTTACAAATTCACAATTTTCAAAATTCATCTTAGAGTTTGAAAAAGTAAGACGTGTGATACAAATGGAATATTTATATTCATTTTTATATATTTAAAATTAAAGTTATTTAAAACATTTTTTTATTGCATAACATTAAACACCAATTTTCTTCTCTCAGACTCTCTGTTTACATTTGCACAGACTTTATGTACAAACATGTGCTTTTGGTGTTTATATATTTCAATGGATCACGCTTAAGCTCTGTTTTTATATACCAACGTAGTCAGAGAAGTTTCTAGAAAATGGAAAGTGCAATCTAATTGCGATCAAAACGCATAATGCTGCATTTTTTTGAAAAGTAATTTTTAACGGCTTTTTCGAATTTAAATTGAAATGAACTTAAGTTTGAATTTTGAACTGAAATGAAACAAAGTCAGAATTTTGAACTGAACTGAAACGAAGTCAGAATTTTGAACTGAAATTAAACAAAGTCAGAATTTTTGAACCAGAATGAACAAAACAGTGCTTTAAAGAGAAAAAGGCTAGCAAAATTATGATTTAAAGCTACAAGATATGAGGAAACATGCAATTATTGCCTCGATTCATAGAAATCTGAACATATTGAAATGTCTTTAACCTTAAAATTCCTAACATTCATATAGAAATTGTGAAATGATATTCATACAGCCGTAAGTCTCTTTTATCCCAAAATGATCTTCAACTTTTCTGCATAAATAAGCTACGACAGTATGAATGTGAGCTTTGCAATTCAATGAATGAGAAATAAAAATTGCATAATAAATTTATTTTACGAGATATATATGTGGCGCATGCATTATATTATATGCTCATACTACTAATTACTACTTATACGATCGTTATTATTATTGACTCGACGATCTGCCCATGAAAATATGTCTTTTCTTTGGAACTTTCAACACAATTTTTGTTGACGATAACTTTTGTTTCTAAACAGCAAGTATACAGCAAAACTAATTAAATCAATCAGTCGGTGAGTTGGTCAAGGTTTGACAAATTAAAGTGCGTGAAAAAAAATAAAGATGTTGCTAATACAAAGCTTGCAAATTTGTTAAATCTCACATTTCCTACTGCCAATTTCGCATGTCTAAATTATTCACAACACAAGATGTTCGAGTGTGTATGTGACAAGCTATAGTAAAAGAAAAATGGGTTCAAGGTAGTCAATTTTGAATATATTTTTATCATCATTACGTTATCGATGATTTTCTCTTCCAACATATTATTTTCGTCTTCTTCTTGATTTATTTTCAATGTCAATTCAACATAAACATTGATTACTCATTCATCATTATGTTAAGGCATGCGTGAGTCCACGTGCACTCGCAAAAAAAGAGAAATTGCTTTCATAATTTTCTCCCCATAAAGTCTATACACATGTGATGACAAGTGTGAGAAAATAAACCTTATGTATACAAAGGCCGGCTATAGCTTTCTAATTCAACCAGACAACACAATATCAAAGGCTATTGAACTCAATGATCCATAGAGGCATAGTTACTTTAAAAAAAAAAATCTGTTTGAATGCTTGTTGCGAAAAGATTTTCGTCTTAACATAAATCGACCGGTGAATGTTTTGTAAGGTATTTGTAAGCGTGCGCTTGATATTATTTGACACTGAAAAAATATTAAAATTGTTTGGAAATTTCTAATTTTCTATTCTGGAACTTTACAAATGTTTTTTAATCGTATTGGAAATTGAACGGTTTTCAAATTATGTTGGAATTTTTCAAAATTGAAATTTCAATTAGATATCCTTTAAAATGTATGATCTAGGTTCTTTAAGAGACATTAATCAACCAACATAAGACTGGACATCTTCATTTCCGACTTAAAAATCGAAATAAGAGTCTGAATTCGCAAATTATTGTAAAATTCTTAATTATCAGCATTAATTTCCACCGTTGGGTCCAATAATCACTTTTGTTGTGCTTTGATGCAGTCATTCAGATATGACTAAGTATTAGCAACTTCAAGCAAGAAAACTAAATACTAAAATGCCAAATTAAAGTACTTAAAAGCTAATTACTCGAGAAAACTGAAGCTTAGCATTTAAAATCTGTTGAAATATTGTGAATTGCAAATAATTGGTGAAGTAAGGAACACGCCAATTAAGTCACATTTCACTTCTCATTGAAATTTCATTACAAACATCTTCTTCTCCTTCCAATCGTCGCCTCTTATTTTAATGCTGTGCTGAATGCACTTAAATAAAATTGCACGATGAATTAAAGCAAAAATTTCTCTTTTCTTTTCTTTTTTTCTTAAAGTTGAAAACGAGACGCGATGCTACGGTGAAATTGGATGTTTAAATATCACCAGAGAATGGTATCATTTGATTCACAGGCCATTCAATGTCTTCCCACTGCCACGAAATGTCATCAATACACGATTCATTCTTTATACCAATGAAAATCCCACCGATGGACAGCTCCTGGTTGCTGAAGATAAAGCTTCCATCAATGGATCTAATTTTAAGCCGGATCGTCCTACAAAGTTCATAATTCATGGATTCATTGATACTCCATTGTCTAATTGGGTGTCTGAGATGAAACAGGAGTTGCTCAAACATTCTGATCAAATTCAAGGTAAGCTTGTTAATTAATCTATAGATGAACGATGAAGATTTATGATGATCTTTAATTATTTACTTCCAGTTATCGTCGTAGATTGGGGAAGCGGATCATTGTAAGTTAAATTGGTCACATAAATTTAATATCATGCTTCTAAAAGCTATAACTCATATTCCAGGCCATTGTACACACAAGCTGTTGCTAATACTCGTCTTGTAGGTTTAGAACTTTCTTATTTAATAAAGAAACTAATTGATGATCATGGTCTTAATCCAGAAGACGTGCATTTAATAGGTAAATTATTATTTCAATGTAAATCGAGTCTGATTGATCTAGTCTGACTTTGAGACAAATTAACCCAAAATTTTACTACATCATTGCATAATTTCCTTTACTTTGTTGCAGGACATTCACTTGGCTCTCATCTTGCCGCATATGCAGGTAAAAATCTCGCTTTATTACTTAGATAAGCATTTACTTAACACCTACGTCTCTTTGCTTGCTTTTGTCTTTCAACAGCTGAAAGAATTCCGAATATAGGACGCATTACTGGGTAAGTGTTGTAATCCATTCATGTTATTTCGACTCAAATATTTGCAAGGCTTTATCTTGACTTGTTATAAACTATAGCAATTGTCATGATTGTTATTAACACGAGTTTAACCCAACAGATTAGATCCAGCTGAGCCTTTCTTCCAAGGAATGCCAGAATTCGTCCGTTTAGATCCTAGTGATGCAAAAGTAAGCAGCTTAATACTTTTTATGGAATTTCTAATCTTATTTATCATTCTATCGTGTGCAGTTCGTCGATGTCATTCATACAGATGCAAGAAGTCTATTCCTCCTTGAAATACCAGGCTATGGTGAGTAGATATAAATGTTAATTCCGATAAGGAGGAAGAAAGTTCAAAGCAGAATCAAGCAAGTAACAAAATTCACAGCTTAAAGCAGTTAAGTGCCTTGCTGGTCAAATAGGTAAGGCGCTTCGCTCAAATTTGATATGGTAACTCGAAGGTCGTCGGTTCGAATCCAGCCATTTCCAAATTTGTCCTTTTTCGGAAGTTTAGATACTTCGACTGCTTAATGTACGAGATCAATCCATAATTGGGCATTTGGGCAACGTTGGATTAAGGAATGGGTCAGGAACTTGAAGTGTAGCGGGAGAAATGGGAACGAGAGCTACAAGATTACCCACGAATGGAATAGTTGAAAGTGACAAGGAAAGATTATGATGACGATGTTGTGGAAATTAACAATTCAGACGATGAAACGCTTGATAGCGATAAACCAAGCGATAGTGACAAGCCGAGTGATAATGCTAAAAATTCACACGAATCTGAGACATGACAGCAAAGATATTTGAGGAGTTTCAATGTCAAGACTGTCCTACAGACAGCAAGTTTAGCTTCAAAAGTACGCGGTAAAGCTGTTCAAAACAAAAAATCTCAAAATACGACCAAGAAACATTAATGGATCATCATACTAACGGCTTGGGAATTGATTATAAGCTCTTGGCAGGTCCTGTATTTATTCTCGTCTTTACAATCGTTGGTGTCGTTTTTGACATTTTTCCAGAAAATAAGCGTGCACTTGTTATGGCTATATTTAATTGGGGTGTTTATGGTAGGGTCCATAAAGTAGCAAGTAGGGTCCATAAAAACTTAAATCCTGCGGAGTAGCAATTTCATGGTTATTTTTCGTGGACAACTTTTTAGTTCTACTAATTGCACTAAAGCCGCAACTAACGTGCAATTAATCATGATTGATGGCTTTATCAGCTTTATATCTTAATTCCAACAACTCTGAGTATTTGTTCCTTAAGATGGTTCTGTTTGAGGTGCCATGAATTCTTACTAGCATTTGATTAAATTCTCCAACACTTACTTCATTTATGTATGCGAGCGCTTAGATTATGATCGAAGAATTCAAATAAGCAAAAGCACGGAGTGATAGGAATATCAAGCATTGAGAAAGCCATATCCAAAGAGAACATTAGTGAAAGTTTCTTGAAATCTGTAATTGACTCAGTTATGACGTAACGATGCATACCATGCTCAATTCTGTTTCTATGTGACTGGTGGTGTTGCTATCTTAATTGGAGTTTTAATGGAAGGTACACTAAAGGAACCAGAACGTAAAGCAATCGGTGGTAATGTAGCAAATCAGAATAAAAAGGTTTCTTTATGAAAAGAGCTGCTACATGCTGATGTTATGATGTTAATGCTTGCTGCTTCAATTCGTCATTGTGGTGGCATGACTTTTGACTATAATGTTGATCTTTTTAGGAATGTCACAGCCCTGCGGACACTTAGATTTCTATCCAAATAATGGAAAAGAGCAGCCAGGATGTATATTATCACAAGAAAGTAGTGCATTGATTCCTCTAACACTTATAAAAGATGGAATTGAAGAGGCGAGTCGAGTTCTTCTGGCTTGTAATCATGTTAGAGCTATAAAATTATTCACAGACTCAATCAATGGAAAGTGTCCATATGTAGCTCATCGGTAAGACATAAATCTTTTAATTTACAGCATAAAGCTTTATGATTCTCATTATTCATCTAGTTGCCCATCATACCAGCATTTCACAGATGGCAAGTGCTTCAAATGTAATGGAGGAAATTGTGCATTAATGGGCTATCACTCAACAATGCCTTATTCCTATCAAAATTACCATAATCATAATGCATCTGAGAATGATGTTGTTCCGTCACCCGATAATTATCCACCGATTGCTCCGGTACAGGGTAAATATTTCCTGATAACAGGCAAGGAACCATTGTGTCAACGACATTACAGATTTATTATTGAGATGGCTAGGCCAGTCATGGCTGAGAAGTGGGTGCAAGGATTCTTAACTGCCGGCATTTTTACTGAGCGTGGCAAAAGCCTCAGGAATTTAGACTTGACTCCGAAAGGGACTCAACGATTTGAGCATGGCAAGTCGTACATGATTGTTGTCACTAATCCAAATGACATTGGAGATCGAATTAATAAGGTAAGAGATTGAAGCTTTGAGTTTGAAGTTCTGTGAATAAAAAGTGCATTCCTACTCGTCAGGTTGAGCTGAATTGGAGTCACGAGATGAACGTTCTTGAACCTAGAAATCTATGCCTATTCTGGTGTAATGATCATTTATATGTGAAGTCGATAACAGTTGATATGATGCAAATGCCAACTAGGGAGTAAGTAGAACTTTAATTGGTGCCTTTTATGGATATCCTTTAACACCTTTTTTTGTTCTTATTTTATCACAGAAAACGTGAACTTGAAAAATCGAACAAACTTTGTCCAAAACAAGAAATTGCTGATATTAAATCACTCGGACGTGTTTTATTCTACGATAGTTGTAAGAGATGAAATTAAAGGAATTAATGTAATTATTAGATATTAGACTTCAATGCTAGTTTACTGGTACAAAGAGAGATGAAGATATATCAGTTATGATTTCATTGACTGATGACTTACTATTTGTGACGACTTTATTTTAAGTCAAAAAAAAAATCGATTTTAATTTATACGATTAAAGTTTTTTATTATTGTGAGATTATTGAATTTCATTCACATTTATACACAGTTTTATTGTTAATAAAATTTGATTTTAAAATTAAAAACTCTTTTGGATGTTGTTCTTAATCTCTTGTAAATTTTTAAATAATCTAATAATCTAGTTGATTTGTATTGATAGTATTATTCAGTGTCTTCTAAAGCTTGGTTAAAAAATGTATTTGAAGATTTTTCAGGTTCAAAAAGCTTGAGTTGAGCTTGATTCGAAATCTTTCAAAAATATTAGTGATTCTTGAAATGTGCAAACTATGGGCCAGAAATGGAAAATTTTTCCAAGAATTATTTCTACAGATTATATGATAGTCTTTATTCTGCCCTACATTTAAGTCCTTAAAACTTTGCCCAAGTCGACAGCATGTCCGAGAAATGGCACTTCAAAGTTGGTCAGACGACCATTTTCACGTTACATTGAAAATGCTCTCACCAGATAATGGATAGATGAATCTCCTTCAAACTTTTTTTGTCAACAGCTTTAAATAGTTCCTTTATTTTAAGATATAAACAATTGCAAATAACTCTGGAAAATTTTGTGAAATACTTGATTTTTCTCAAAAACCACGTGTTCACCCTAGTCAAAATCAATTTTGTCACTTTTTTCTTCGAGGGTTTATCCAAATGGATTGAAACTTTGCATAAATATTCTAGTGCTTAAAACAAATACCTACTTGGTTCTTTGCTCAGAAAAATTTTAGGATGATTTATTTGTATTTGTTTTAAGCACTAGAATATTTATGCAAAGTTTCAGTCCATTTGGATAAACCATCGAAGAAAAAATTGAAAATGTATTTCCTACTTGGTTCTTTGCTCAAAAAAAATTTTAGGATGTTTTATTTGTATATGTTTTAAGCACATAAATATTTAAGCAAAGTTTCAATCCATTTGGAAAAAACCCTCGAAGAAAAAAGTGACAAAATTGATTTTGACTAGGGTCGCCCCTATTCTAAAATTGAAAATCTATGTCCTTCTTGGTTCTTTGCTCAAAAAATTTTAGGATGTTTTATTTGTATTTATTTTAAGCACTTGAATATTTATGCAAAGTTTCAATCCATTTGGATAAACCATCGAAGAAAAAAGTGACAAAATTGATTTTGACTAGGGTCGCCCCTAGTTCAAAATTGAAAATGTATTTCCTACTTGGTTCTTTGCTCAAAAAAATTTTAGGATGTTCTATTTGTATTTGTTTTTAAGCACTAGAATATTTATGCAAAGTTTCAGTCCATTTGGATAAACCATCGAAGAAAAAAGTGACAAAATTGATTTTGACTAGGGTCGCCCCTAGTCCAAAATTGAAAATGTATTTCCTTCTTGGTTCTTTGCTCAAAAAATTTTTAAGGATGTTTTATTTGTATTTGTTTTGAGCACTTGAATATGTATGCAAAGTTTCAGTCCATTTGGATAAACCATCGAAGAAAAAAGTGACAAAATTGATTTTGACTAGGGTCGCCCCTAGTCCAAAATTGAAAATGTATTTCCTTCTTGGTTCTTTGCTCAAAAAAATTTTAGGATGTTTTATTTGTATTTTTTTAAGCACTAGAATATTTATGCAAAGTTTCAGTCCATTTGGATAAACCATCGAAGAAAAAAGTGACAAAATTGATTTTGACTAGGGTCGCCCCTAGTCCAAAATTGAAAATGTATTTCCTTCTTGGTTCTTTGCTCAAAAAAATTTAAGGATGTTTTATTTGTATTTTTTTTAAGCACTAGAATATTTATGCAAAGTTTCAGTCCATTTGGATAAACCATCGAAGAAAAAAGTGACAAAATTGATTTTGACTAGGGTCGCCCCTAGTCCAAAATTGAAAATGTATTTTCTTCTTGGTTCTTTGCTCAAAAAAATTTTAGGATGATTTTTTTGTATTTTTTTTAAGCACTAGAATATTTATGCAAAGTTTCAATCCATTTGAATGAACCCTCGAAGAAAAAAGTGACAAAATTGATTTTGACTAGGGTCGCCCCTAGTCTAAAATTGAAAATGTATTTTCTTCTTGGTTCTTTGCTCAAAAAAATTTTAGGATGTTTTATTTGTATTTGTTTTAAGCACAAGAATATTTATACAAAGTTTCAATCCATTTGGATAAACCATCGAAGGAAAATTTGACAAAATTGATTTTGACTAGGGTCGCCCCTAGTCCAAAATTGAAAATGTATTTCCTACTTGGTTCTTTGCTCAAAAAATTTTAAGATGTTTTATTTGTATTTGTTTTAAGCACTAGAATAATTATGCAAAGTTTCAGTCCATTTGGATAAACCATCGAAGAAAAAAGTGACAAAATTGATTTTGACTAGGGTCGCCCCTAGTACAAAATTGAAAATGTATTTCCTACTTGGTTCTTTGCTCAAAAAAATTTAGGATGTTTTATTTGTATTTGTTTTAAGCACTAGAATATTTATGCAAAGTTTCAATCCATTTCGATAAACCCTCGAAGAAAAAAGTGACAAAATTGATTTTGACTAGGGTCGCCCCTAGTCCAAAATTGAAAATGTATTTCCTTCTTGGTTCTTTGCTCAAAAAAATTTTAGGATGTTTTATTTGTATTTGTTTTAAGCATTAAAATATTTATGCAAAGTTTCAATCCATTTGGATAAACCCTCGAAGAAAAAGGTGACAAAATTGATTTTGACTAGGGTCGCCCCTAGTCTAAAATTAAAAATCTATGTCATTCTTAGTTCTTTGCTCAAAACAATTTTAGGATGTTTTATTTGTATTTATTTTAAGCACAAGAATATTTATGCAAAGTTTCAATCCATTTGAATGAACCCTCGAAGAAAAAAGTGACAAAATTGATTTTGACTAGGGTCGCCCCTAGTCCAAAATTGAAAATGTATTTTCTTCTTGGTTCTTTGCTCAAAAAAATTTTTGGATGATTTTTTTGTATTTTTTTTAAGCACTAGAATATTTATGCAAAGTTTCAATCCATTTGAATGAACCCTCGAAGAAAAAAGTGACAAAATTGATTTTGACTAGGGTCGCCCCTAGTCTAAAATTGAAAATGTATTTTCTTCTTGGTTCTTTGCTCAAAAAAATTTTAGGATGATTTTTTTGTATTTGTTTTAAGCACTTGAATATTTATGCAAAGTTTCAATCCATTTGGATAAACCCTCGAAGGAAAATTTGACAAAATTGATTTTGACTAGGGTCGCCCCTAGTCCAAAATTGAAAATGTATTTTCTTCTTGGTTCTTTGCTCAAAAAAATTTTAGGATGATTTTTTTGTATTTGTTTTAAGCACTTGAATATTTATGCAAAGTTTCAATCCATTTGGATAAACCCTCGAAGGAAAATTTGACAAAATTGATTTTGACTAGGGTCGCCCCTAGTCCAAAATTGAAAATGTATTTCCTTCTTGGTTCTTTGCTCAAAAAAATTTTAGGATGTTTTATTTGTATTTTTTTTAAGCACTAGAATATTTATGCAAAGTTTCAGTCCATTTGGATAAACCATCGAAGAAAAAAGTGACAAAATTGATTTTGACTAGGGTCGCCCCTAGTCCAAAATTGAAAATGTATTTCCTACTTGGTTCTTTGCTCAAAAAAATTTAGGATGTTTTATTTGTATTTTTTTTAAGCACTAGAATATTTATGCAAAGTTTCAATCCATTTGAATAAACCCTCGAAGAAAAAAGTGACAAAATTGATTTTGACTAGGGTCGCCCCTAGTCTAAAATTGAAAATGTATTTTCTTCTTGGTTCTTTGCTCAAAAAAATTTTAGGATGATTTTTTTGTATTTGTTTTAAGCACAAGAATATTTATACAAAGTTTCAATCCATTTGGATAAACCATCGAAGGAAAATTTGACAAAATTGATTTTGACTAGGGTCGCCCCTAGTCCAAAATTGAAAATGTATTTCCTACTTGGTTCTTTGCTCAAAAAATTTTAAGATGTTTTATTTGTATTTGTTTTAAGCACTAGAATAATTATGCAAAGTTTCAGTCCATTTGGATAAACCATCGAAGAAAAAAGTGACAAAATTGATTTTGACTAGGGTCGCCCCTAGTACAAAATTGAAAATGTATTTCCTACTTGGTTCTTTGCTCAAAAAAATTTAGGATGTTTTATTTGTATTTGTTTTAAGCACAAGAATATTTATGCAAAGTTTCAATCCATTTGGATAAACCCTCGAAGAAAAAAGTGACAAAATTGATTTTGACTAGGGTCGCCCCTAGTCCAAAATTGAAAATGTATTTCCTATTTGGTTCTTTGCTCAAAAAAATTTTAGGATGTTTTATTTGTATTTGTTTTAAGCATTAAAATATTTATGCAAAGTTTCAATCCATTTGGATAAACCCTCGAAGAAAAAAGTGACAAAATTGATTTTGACTAGGGTGAACACGTGGCTTTTGAGAAAAATCAAGTTTTTCACAAAATTTTCGTTAAGTTTTTGCAATTGTTAATATCTCAAAATAAAGGAACTATTTAAAGTTATTATTTAAAAAAGTATGAAGGAGATTCATCCATCCAATATCTGGTGAGAGCATTTTCAATGTAACGTGAAAATGGTCGTCTGACCAACTTTGAAGTGCCATATCTCGGACATGCTGTCGATTTGGGCAAAGTTTTAAGGACGTAAATGTAGGGCAGAATAAGGACTATCATATAAGCTGTAGAAATAATTTTTTGGAAAAATTTTCTATTTCTGGCCCATAGTGGTACAATTCCAAGAATAATTGATTTGGCAAGTAATCGATTCTAACATTATCTTGGTCTTTATTAATTTGATTAGGAGTGTGTGGAAGATCAGATAGGTGAACATCCAAAGAGGCGAAGGAATTGAGTTATTCAGACCAGCCCAATAAAATCCAGGGTCCTTCTTCGAACAATTTGTGGCTACTCAATTTGAAATATCAGCTGAGGGGCCGTTCACTTATGACGTCCAGGGTGGGGGGGGGTCAGCTAGAAAAGAAAAATAGAAATTCCAGGAAATTTATTGTTCTTTTTTGAAAAATGCCCGTCAGATAATTTCGTAGTGATTGATATCAGTCATTCTGTGAAAGTAATAGTAAATAGAATATAACATGGGGTTCTTTTATTACGTTATGGAAAAAAACGACTTTTTTCAAAATTTAAAAAAATGTTTTTGGTGTGAATTTGTAAACAAATTTATTTCGTGAATTTCAACCGCCCCCCCCCCCCCCCCCCCCCCCTAAAATGCGAACGTAATTAGTGAACGGCCCCATAGCCTGAAAATATTAATTATAATCAAGTTCAAGTTCAAATTCTTTAAATCAATTTCAAAATCTGAAAATAGACAAAACCAGCTCAGTCCTTTTTGTTTTGAAAAAAAAAGATTTTTTTTATTTAAATTGTTTTTTTTTTCACGTTATTTAACATGCATTTGATGGATTTACTTTTCGGTCGGAAAAATAAAATCAAAAAAATAATAAAAATTCGATTAAACTTCATTTATTCACTAAGTACACAAAACTAAATATTAATATTTTTTCTTTATTTCCTTCTTTTATCATCATTGATATTTATGAGTTGTAGATTAATTAATGAGATAAACACATAGAAACATGTTAAATTTGTCTTAAAATTGAACCAAGAAAATGCAAGATACGGTTATTATGTCCATTTTTTTTGTTTATTACATTCTTTAATCTTAAGAGTTGTATTTTTTTTAAATTCTTATTAATAAATTTTTTATTTTTTTGTTTAGAAATGATTAAAAATAGTTACTTTTCACTTTTTTATTCATTATTATTTTAAAAAGTTACCATCGTGAATTAATTCTATTCTTTAAATTACTAGATATTTTTTTTATATTTGTGTTTTTTTTTTCTTCATTCTTTTAAAGTTTTTCTGGATGAGAACAAAAAAAAATAAGTCAGAAAAAAATCGCATCTTCTGTGTCTGTTTGTGTGTAAAGTTAAATTAATTATTGAAAAAATTAAGAAACAAAAAAAGAAAAAAAAGGAAAGTTTTGTATTTGAAAAAAAGTCAAAAATTTTATCATTAGAGCTTATTAATTTTATGAAGATAGATCTTAAATATCGAGGTCTTTGAATGTTAAAGATATTTCAGCGTTCATTCTAATTTCATTGATTGTTTTTTTCCCATTATATAATTATGTAAATCTGTCTAAATATCATCATAAATACAAAATATTTCACAAAAAAAAATTATTCAAAACAAAAAGAAAAGAGAAAATAATAATAATAAAAATCCAGTCAGTGGGGACAATTTAAAGAAAAGAGAAAATTTTAATTAAATTCACAATTTTTTTATCATCAAATTCTGATATCTTCGGACATTCATATCAGCCAAAAAGATTTCTTTTATCAATTTACGCATTTAATGTTTTAAAAAAATAATGAAAGAGTTGTGTGTCGACGGTGTTTCTGGTTTTGTGGAATGAATCATGTTCTCAAATAATGTTAATTAAATTTCCTCATTTCATTGAGTAATTCTCTTCATAATGGTCGGTCGTCGGGTGTATTTTTATTTAATTATATTTATTATCTTTCTTTTTATGTGATTTGTTTTTGTTTTTTGTTGTTTTTCTACTTTTTTTTTGGTGAATGAAAATTCTGAAATTAAAGTAAATTGAGAGTTATTTAAGTGATTCATAACACTATCAAAATTTAACGGCTTTCAAAAATTCAAAATTTAATGGTTTTCAAAAACTCAAAGTTTAAACGTTTTAGAAGATTCAAATTTTAACGACTTCTTAGCATTCAAAATTTAATGGTTTTTATAAACTCAAATTTTAAAGACTTTTTATGATTCAAAATTTCAAAAAAATATAATGATTACAAGACAATGCAATAACAAATTCTTAAAGACCCACTTATAAATCATAAGCCAAATTGAACCATGTAATTATCTGCTAATCAGCCATAGTAAATTGAGCCATTAGCATGAATAATTAAGCAGAAAAGTCTAGTTGACTCAAATTCCTGAGACTCAATTAAGCTAAATGAGCCATGAAATTAGTAAAGTGTACAGAATAAATAGTCAATTAGCATACTTACATTATTATAATATTTACTATCAAATCGAATTATCCAATCAAAATATTCTTTTTCATCGAAGACACTGAACGATATTAAATGGTTTTTTGTATGTATCTTATACTCAAAAAAAATACAAATAAGGATTTTCTTTTATTGTAATGATGAGATGAACTATTATTTCTGTGGTTTTTAATGGATTTAGTATGGTTGATGTCTTTGTTGGCGTCCTCCACCTCTTTGCTTTCCACCTTGATAGTTGCCACCTCCTATAATAAGTCATATAAAAAAACAGAGGAAATAAAAGTTAAATAAAGATTTGTGCGAAATTGTTTGTGAATTTTAACTTTGGATTTTAGGAAAATTTTGTCAAAATTATGCTTGAAATTTTGACAAAATGTCCCCAAACTATAAACATCTATGCAAACAATTTCTTGGACATGCTTTTTTTTCTCTTTAAGTTCAAAAAAAATTCCGAATTAATTTTTCTTCATTTTTGCATCCAGAGTCGGTACGAGTCTCTAAATAACAAATTAAGTGTTCAATTTTGGCGTATCGACACTGGCTGATTACATAAAGACACAATTTTGATAGATAAGCATTAAAGAAATTATAAAAATTATGCATTTTTAAAAAAATTAAAAAGTTTCGACAGGACAGGATGTTTTAAAAAATTAAAGATTTCTTTAACTAAGATTTGGACTTGATTTTTGTGTATTTTGATTGACAAATACCTCTACTACTTCTTCCTCCTTGTCGGTAACCGCCATTGAAACCATAATTTCCATCATAATTGTCTGCAGCGACGACATTGAAAAGTTTTAAATGGAAAAGATAATAAAAATTTACCGATAAATTTCTCTCCACATTTGAATTCAAAATAATTCAATATTATTACTATTTCTTAAATTGTTAAGCACATTACTTAATTAAATGATACAATTTGAAGATTTAAGAGAATTAATAAAATTTGAGTTGATATTAAACGGTTTCTGGAGTTTCAAAATTTCTAACGGTTTTCAACGATTCAAAGTTTTTATGGATTTTTTTAGATTCAAATCTTCTTGGTTCTTGGAGCTTTTCAAAAATCATAGCGGATTTTAAAAATGCAAAATTTAACAAATTCTTAGATTTTACGTTGTTTAATATTCGAAATTTCTATCTGGTTTTAGAATTTTGAATTCCAACGGCTTTCAAAAATTTAAATTCTACTAGTTAAAATTTTGAACTATCGGTTATTGAGGATTTTAAAGAGTTTCAAAAATTTTAAGTTTTGAGGGTTTTTTTAAAATTAATTCTAACGTTTTTTTTTGAAATTTTGATGACTGATGATTTTGACATCCCTGAAAATTCTAATAATTTTAATGAAATTACAATCAAACCTTTATCCATACGAATGATAAGCAAGATAGAATGCAATTTTAACTAGGAATATCTTGAGAGGTACACACAGAGAAATCAATTATTTAAAAATTGGAAGCTCAAATGCTTTCCTTATCTTATCTCTTTTTGAACTGTGTTAAAAGGAACTTATTAAAAAAATTGAAAGAAAATTGCAATGACCTTGAACGCTGATAATGATGTGACACATTTTTGAAGCTGAAAAATAAGAAATTGCAACCAAAATTGCTATAAATTTGCGACGATCATGAGAAACACATTTTCGATTTTAGAGAAGTTTTTATTTTGTCTTCCAAGAATGACATTTTTATCTTTTTTTTTGTATAATTTTTCTTCATCTTCCGTCCACTATTTTTGTAATTTTGGCAAATTATACACAAATAAGTTGTTTGTTGTTGTTTTATAAATTTATCAAAAAAAAATTGAATTTTGTGTTAGAAACAAATTTTTTTGTTTGTCGTTTAAAATAAAAATCAAGAAAAATAATTTTGTTAATTAATTTAAAGAATAAAACCTTAAATGATGATTTTTTTTGCATGTGTAAAAAAAATCTTATGAATTTCATGTTTCTCAATGTATTTCTCATGTATCATCTCACCTTTTTTTTTTCTTTCTTTATATTCTCATCGTAAAAATGTGTCACACCTCATAAGAGACAAGTAGCGATCAAGATCATATCTTTTTTTTTGGGGCAAAAATTCTTTTTTAAACTAATTTTTTTTGAACATTAATTATTGATTAATTCTATTTTGTGTTTGTGTGTCAATCATCAAAAAAATACTTATTAATTAAATTTCCATACAAATAGTAATAAAAAAAAACAAAAAAAAATGTAAAAAAAATTTCATCAAAATTTCAAATCGTTCCCAGTTTAAGAAAAAAATATAGAAAAATTCTTTTGTCATCAAAAATTCAGTGAAATTCTTTCAAATTTTTCTCTAAAATCAAAAAAGAAATTTGACGGGGCAAAAATAAAGAAAATAAATGATTAATAATGACAATTGTATTATTTTTTGTATAACTCATGAGGCGGCCACATATTAACTAGTTAAATAATTCTTTTTGAATTGTTTTGTCAAGGGAGAGATGGAAAATTAGACAATTAAAAAAAAAATAAACAAAAATAAGAAGATAAATTCAAAATAACATTGGAAACATGCAATCAACTTTCTTTATGCTGTCTTCTGTTTCTCAACAGAATCATTTTCATTTCTTTTGCTGCTGTTGTTTTTTTCTGTTTTGTTTGTGTTTGTGAAACGACTGAGAAGTCTTTACTACTTAACATGCTAATCAATAAGCTATACTAATGCTGTTCTAAATGCCATGTGAGTCATTTAAAGTACTTTCTCATTCGTTTCAACTCAAATTGTAATAATGTACGAGAATGAAGTTGTTGTTGTTATATTTTATGAAAAAAGAAGCCTTTTCATAAATTGATTTTACATGAATTCAATTCTAATGTTGTTGGTTCGGATCAGCATGGATCAGTGAACAAAATGTCAGAGATATTTAAATTCGGACGTGCAAATCGCATTATTCAGCCATAGACATGATTCACATTTAACCCAACCCTTATCCCTCTAATTCAACTTCAATCTCCTACAAAACTTAATCATCAAAATTATTCTTTTGCATCGGATTTCTGATCTTACCAAGGGCGTGGAACTGAAATGTTCAAAATTGATTCAAAATCGATCAAAAATGATTCAAATTTGATCAAAATGTATCAAATTGAATAAAATGATTCAAAATTGTTCAAATTTGACCAAAATTTTTCAATCAATTTCAAAATTGAGTTCAGTTCCGCGTTGCTTGGATCTTACATGACTAAAATAATAAGCAAAAATTATAAAGTCAAAAAAATGATTTAAAAAAAAATCTGAAAGTTGCATATTTGCACTTCATTATTATTTGTTTTTTCTTATAATTGTAATAATAATAATATAATAGAATTAATTAGAATCCTTTTTATGCTTCTCAACCCACTCCACTAAAATTTAACTTAAAAAAATTGCATTTTATGCAAGAAATTTAGTTTTTATTTGATTTTAATATTTGAGGATCAGAGTTACTCGGCGGGTCTAATACAAATAAGCAAAATTTCTAATGATTGTATGCAAATTTTAGGGATAAGCGACTAAACCTAACCTAATGCAAGCATTTAGAGCAACTCTGAATTTTTGGAAATGAAAGTTTAAGACTCGACATGATTTTTTATTTTAATTCAATTTGTGCCAAAAAAGAAATACCTCAAAAAACTTTATTGATTTTAAAGTGAAAGAAATTTAACTGAATGTTTCCAAGCATCAAAATTTAATTTTTTGCACCCCCATTTACGCTATTTCTAAGATATTATTTGGAAAATACTTTTTTCTTCAGTTCTAAAAAAACCCGCAAAAAGAATAAAAATCATCCATAGGATGAAAAATTATTATTTTCGATTATATAAAAAATATATAAACCTTAGCATGGAAGCCATCAGTCTTCCAATAAAGGAATAAAAAATAAACTAGCTAATGCGAATTAATCAGTTAATTTGCTAAGCTCTACTGTCCTTCTCTATCTCTCATCTGATTTATGAAATAGTCAAAAGCTTCTTCTTTGTATCGTTGGGATGAATATATTCATTTGTTGTGTTTTTTTTCTATGTATTTATACATATAATAATATTTTTGTTTTGTGGGAAGGCACTTTTAAAGAATATGGTTGATTAAATCACAACATTTGATCAGGATGCATCAGATGTGGTCAATCTTGCGTCATTTAACAGACACTTTTTATTTGAATATTTTAACGACTTCTTAGAATTTGAATTTTAGCGGCTTTCAAAAATTCAAATCTTTAATGTCTTTCAAAAAATATAAATTTTGAACAGCCTTTAAAAATTCAATTTTCAACTGTTTCCAAGTTTGATTAAATTCAAATATTATCCGTTAAAAAACCCAAAATTGACCAAACCGCGAGCATCTGGCATTCAAAATTAATGAAAATGGAGAGATTTGAATCTTGAAATCCTTTAAAACTTTTTTGGTAACTCATCAGCACAAAAAATTATTGCTTTTTTCCTTTACGTTAAATGTGAAAAAGAGTTAAATAATATTTTACGAGGTATTTTTCTCGTGCTTTTCTTAAGGTTTTCATTTTGTTATTAATTTTTCTTTTTCTCTTTCAGCAAAAACTTTGAATTATTTTCTTTTTAAAAATGTGTTTAAATGTTATTTAAAAAAAACAGCAACAGTCGAGAAACTTTGGATAAAAAAAGTTAATTATTTCTTTCTCAAAAACTTGTATGAAGTGAAATTTTGATAATTAAAAAAAGGAAATTGTAAACTAATTAATTAGAAAAATTAAAAAAAAAAGTATTGAATTGTGAAGGCATAAGCCGACGTTATTTTTCTTTAATTAAATCAAAAAAAAAATATGTTTAAATTATAATTAAAAGAAGTGAATGTAAAGAGTTTCTTGAACGACATGAAACTATCAAAAGCGATTGCAAATCGTATAAGATTGACGATATTAGACGACAATTCGTCAAAATGTGCACGAATCAGGGATGTTTATGATTCAGGCAGGAAAGTTGCGCGATCTAAGGGAGCGTAAAGAAACAAAAAATTGTAAATTATACGATTTTTATGGAAAAAAGCACAAATGACCACAACGAAATAGAATAGCTTTTAATGAGTTTAATATCGTTCAAAATCTACTATTTATATTATTATTTTCTGTTGGATATATATAACAAAACGATCCTTATCGAAAACGGGAAGAAAAATTAATTTGAAATGAACAAAAAAAAATTAAGAAACTCAAATTTTAGTTTGATTTTCATATTTTTTTAAAAATAAGAAGAAAAAATTTTCTTTCTGACAAATTTTAATGATTATTATTTTTTTTATAATTATTATAGTATTTATATGCATAATGTGTATTCATTTGTGGTAAAAGATGCGTGGAATGGACAATTATTATTATGTATGAAAACAATTAAGAGCATGAGATATACATAATCTTAATGGTTACAGTAAAAAAAGAGTCCATTTCAATATCATCTTAATGCTGATTTCTATAATTTTGCTGTTGTTGACTACTATTATATTTACCGTAATTGCCACCACTTCCGTAGTTTCCATAGCCTGAATCATAGTTTCCGTAGTAGCCGTCCATTGGACCACCATATCCACCCTGATAGTTATCGTAATTGCTTCCCCAATTTCCTTGATTCCAACTACCACCACCACTCTGATATGGTCCACCACTACTGTAATTGCCGCCCCAATTTCCACCCTGGAATTCTACATATAGTTCCAAGAAATTTTTTGCCATTAATTATACGAGAACAAGATAATATTTCAGGGATATATATATATAATAATTTAATCAATGTTTCAACTTACGTCGGCCTCCTCGTCCTCCACGCATATTACGTCCACCACTTCCACCACGCATACCTCCCATCATTGGAGCATTATCTGGTTTCGGTGTGGCTTTCTTTACATCAACTTCCTTACCACTAATTGTTTGCTTTGGAGTCTTTAACAGCTCATTTACAACTGTTTCCGAGTCGAAAGTTATAAAGCAGAAGGCTTTACGTTGATTCTTTTGCTTATCAAATGGCATTTCCATTTCCACAATCTAAACGATACATATATATCGAGACAACAATTAGTAACTAGCTCAAATGGGACCCCCAAAACTCGAACCCCCCCGATAAAATTTAAAAAGAAATCACTCACATTTCCGAATTGTGCAAAATAGGCTCTAATCTCATCGTCACTTATTTCAGGAATTAATCCACCAACGAAAATCTTTCCAGTTCTTGCTTTTGCCTTCTTTGGATCAACTTTTTTGTTGTTGATTATGTGTTCACCGGCAGCGACAACTTTGTCAATTGACTCTGCAGCTTTGTAAACTATGAAAGCAAATCCTCGTGAGCGGCCTGTTGTAGGATCGGTCTTAACGTTAATGCTGTCAATTTCGCCATATTGACCGAAATGATCGCGTAATTCCTCTGAAGATTTCGAAGAAAAAGAATAGATTAGTAAAGTTTTAGAGTAAAAAAATTAGGATTAAACTTACTTTCTGTCGTCTCCCAGCTCAATCCACCGACAAACAACTTTCTGTAATTTTTTATATTATTTATTTAAATTCAAAATTGAATTTTTTCCGAAAAAGAAAAAAAAGAAGAAAGAGAAAAACAAAAGGTTAATAATTGTGTTTATAAAATGTATAATAATGTCAAAAATTGTGAATAAAAGTAAGTTTTAATAATTAGGAAATTTTTAAAAAGGATTTAAAATCATTAGACTTAACGCAATTTTAACGCAAATTTTATCTTTTTGTGTGCATTAATATAGTTATTAATTAAGACTTAATATCCAAGTAAATAAAGTATTCAACAACCCCAGCAACAAAGCTACAAAATTTTTTTATTCTTAAGTTTATTATGTCAAGAAAAGTAAGTAAAATCTGTAAAAACAAATGTATTTTAAATTTTATTTTACAATTATAACAATATTTTTTCATTACAGTACAAAAAAGTTATTATTAAATTTAAATTTTTTAAAAAAAAGAACGATGTGACTCGACAATGCAAAGTGAAACGTATCCGAAAAAAATTGGGGCTGGATCATCAAAAGTAAAAGAATCAATCACCAAAAAAAAAATTTGTATATTTTTCAATAAAATCTTGGTCACTCGTGACCCGACGACAAGCACATTTTCCTCAAGCATAGAACATAAGGACTCGATTAAGTTTCAAATTACAGCATTCAAATAATTTTTTGAAAAATTAACGGTTCTTAAAAATTTGAATTTTTTTGGATTACGAAATTTGAAAAATGACGGTTATAAAGTTTGCGTAAGTAGCTTTTTGACCACTTCCAACATAAGAATTGACCAATAAAAACAAAGATTTTTGATAGAATATGGGCAATTCTCTATAGGGGAAATCAAAAATTTTCAACTTAAAATTGTTTTTTTGACCGATTTTTCTACTAAAAGATGTAAGGTTTTCAGGTCTTCTGATGTATTTTTCCATTATCTATCTGTTGACTTATTATAACAGCCATTAATTAGCTTAATTCTAGAGATATTTTGATTCTTCGAAAATTCAATAGGGGAATCAATATTTATCCATTAAATTCTTATGTTTGCAACATGAAATGCAAATCAAATGGTAGAGTATTATCAGTTCTATAATACCTTTGCTTCACATCTAAGGAAAGCAGCTTAATTAAAGAGAATAATCGATTCTCCGAACGTCAACTTTATGTCACGGAGCATCTTTAAGCTTTTATTTTACCGATCCGTAAAAAAATTACCAGAAAAACGAATCAAAAAAATTAAAATACTGCTCTTATCTTTGATTTTTATGCAAATCTATTAATTAAACTTAATAGAATAATTATTTTTGATGATTTGAGACTGTTTTGATGTTTAAACTCAAATGTATTAAAAAGATATAAACCAAAAGATTTTTATGATCCAAACACAAATAACCTTGGATTAAAAAAGCTTATTTTTCAAAATTCCACCATCCTGGAGAATCACCCATATAATGATACAAGACAAAAAAACCGGACTACAGACAATACAGTTCGTTGTGCTTTAGGAAAATGCGCCAATTACAACAGAAATTCAATTCAAATCGGTCGACTTAATCAAAGTTTTGCTCTGTGTTTAAAATTGCCATAAAATTAGATGAAACGATCAAAAAAGAGAGAACAAATTTAACACGCTGGATCTTAAAAATTATCACAAATCTGTCATATTTTCAATGATTATTTTTTTGGAAAAAGTTTTTAATTTTTTTTTGATTATGTGTTTTTTTATGACGGATAAATACCATCTCACTTCTCATGGATGTTCGTCACAGCTTGCTTGGTAGCTCCAAAACTCGTAGGGCTATGGATCCATCCGTCATGTCACGTGTTTTTGTGGCAGTAGAGTCACAATCCTCGAAACATTTCGTGTAACTCCAAGTCATCGTCATTCACATTCACAATCTCTCTCTCACTAAATAAACCTGTGCATAAGAGGAACAAGATTATAGTTCACTCATTACAGCCTGGGACTAATTTTTGGACATAACGCTATATGTTTTTAATTATTTAGTCTTATATTCGTTTTTTTACTGACTTTAATAAAAAAAATCAATTTACTCCGAATTCTTACAGTTAATTCAGCAATATTACAAAGTTTATATGAATCAGCAATTCGAACAATCTATAAAGACTCAATTTCTCGGCGACACAAACACTTTATCATTCAAAAAATATATAGTTTATGTACGTTATCAGGTACCAGAAAAAAAATAGCAAAAGGATCTTCCAAATGTATGCCAATAAAGATATCTGAAAAAGGTAGTCCTTAAAGATAATAAAAAGTATAGCAGAAAAAGGATAGACACTAAATTGATATTTCATCGACGCGTCATACTTAAGATTAAGAAAGAAGGTAGATAGACAGCAAAAATCGTCAAACTTTGTTCTCAGTATTAATATTACTGTATAAAATTATTATTATTAAATATATAGTATGTATATAAATTGGAATTAGTAAACTCATTCACACATTCTCTTTGTACGACGGTTGGATATATAGCAAGGCATAAAGGCACTTTCTTAAAAGACTTGACTATAGTAGAGATTCAAGATTCAACGTATTTTTGTCACCCACATTTAATTATCTTAACGACGTCATTTTAATATTATTATTTTTACCTAATAAATTGGCTTATACACTAATAATAGAAAATAGAATTAACAGATAACTAAGTAGGAGATTGAGTTAAGAGTCTGTCTGAGAACAAAATTTGAAGATTCATGATCAATGTCCGTACATACATAAAGCGCGGCACTAAATCTATAAAAAACATTTTTTTTTTATGTGTGTGTATAAACACAGCTACACACATCAGACAAGCGGCAAAGCATTATTATTTACCGGCTTCTTCTTTTTGGCTTGCCTGTACGCATTTCGAATCAACGAAAGAGAAAAAAATGTATGGAAAAGAGGAACTGCTAAGAATGATGTCACATAGCGGCGTCTTATCAAAAAAATGGAACTGGATGTTGTCAATTAATGAAATTTCAACTTATTCGACTGATGTTTAATGCATTGAAATTGAAAAGTAATCAAAAATGCCTCAAATGAAGCGTGAGAAGTGAAAAAGTGAATTTTTTCCACCATTTCTGGATGTTTCCTCAATTCCGCCATTTTAACAAGCATGTGCTTCTTTCTTAAATATGCGTAGTCGATGAAAATCTTAGTTCAAAATTTAGACAATAAATCCCGCTTGGATTGAATAAAAGTTATCGTAATTTAACATTAAGACATAAATCATCTTATTTAATTAACTTTTAAAGCAAATGGCATCAGATTTCATGGGAAAAAATGCTTTTGAAACAAATGCGATGCCATGATTGTAAATGATGAAAAAATTAAAAATTTCATATGAAAAAAGCATTTTAAGGGATAAAAAACTGTCGCTTAATGCTATTTAAGATCTAATTGACTCACCTATCATCGTCACGTCCAATTTCTGAGGAATCTCCACCTCCATTTTGATGATCCATATCTTGTCCATTGTATCCATCATCTTGTTGCATCTGATCACCGTTTTCATGTAAATCTGCCATTTCACTTATTTATCTTTCTTTCTAATTAATCACTAGAACTTAAAGAATACAACTTACAATGGTATTTGAAAAATAATTCTGATCTGAATTCTGACTATTCGGTTTTTTGAAGCAAAAGTTGTAATCTATTATACTCGCTTACCTCTCTAAGTTAATTCTTTCAATTTGCCTCAATGTTTCTGAACCTCTCTTAAACGAACTTTTTCATTTGAATATTTTTTCACCGTTAAAACCTCAGCTGGCTTTTAAAGTTTCTTTAATTAATCAAAATTTCCGTTTTACTCTTTTATTATGGCTTTTTCAACCATTTATCCTTATCGAAAAGGATTTAAATCGCAATTTAAAAAGGGATCTAGTACAATTAAGCGCTATGAATCAGCAGATACTCGAATTTGGTCAAATGATGTCTTACTACGATCCATTGGTTTACGAGATAAATTGACTTGTAATGAGATTAATCAGTTCACATGTGATGAGAATAGCTCGTTTGAAATAGGTCGACTTGTGACTGAAATTAAGCAGAAAGATGAGGAACTTGATAAAATCCACAGCATGTATAAAGTTATGTCTAAGAAACTTAAGGATATGGAACAAGCCAACAAATCCAGCAAAGTTTTTGAATTACAAGATGATCAGGACACAATAGAAGTAGTTGAAGATTACGAGACAGTCAAGAAACGCACTGAAAAGTACGAAGAAATAATCAAGGAACGTGACGAACTCAAACTAGAATTGTCAAAAATGGCAAATGTTGAGGACTTACTTAAGAAAATGAAAATAAGAGCTGATGAGGCAGATCAGATGGAAAAAGAAATTAAGCAGCTCAAAAATGATCTTCAAAGATGTGGACATGGCGGGTCAGGCGATAGATTAAAAATAGAACCGAATCGTGTAAATTCAGAGACACAATGCAGTCAGTGCCAAAAATTTATTGTGGAATTAAGAGAAAGTAGGTCAATGCTTGAGTTGAAGGAACGAAAGTGCATTGAATTTGAGGCTGAGAGGAATTTTTATATGCAACGTGCTGAGATGATAAGGTGTATGGAAGCTGAGCTGATTCTTTATAAGGTGGGGTTTTTGTAGGGTTCCTTATTAATGACTATTCATGACTATATCTTATGATAATTATAGACCAAATACGAAGAATGTGAATGCAAGCTGCTCAGTTTGAAGGAAGTAGTCATCAAAGCTGAAATTAATGAGATGAAATTGCGTGCATCACAGAGCAAATTGAAGACTATGGAATATCAGCTATTAGAATCGGAACAGCAGAATGAATGTCTTATAGTAAGTTTCTTTAGTATTTTCTCTAAAATAATGTTTGACATCAGAAGTTAATGACCTTACATGTATGTGATTGGGATTGAAATCATGACCAAAATTAACAGTCATTTTTCAAAAAAGAAAGTAAATTCTGATTTATCCTTCCTTAACAGGGCAAGATAGAGCAACTAGACATGGACCTTAAAGAACGTGACGTTTACATCAATTCCTTAAATCATCGTCTTAGTAAAAGTTTCCGCCCATCATCCAAAAAGGCAATAAAATGTGTACCTGGAAAAGTACAGTCGATAGTCGAGAAAATAAGCAAGGAATCGTCAAATGTCAGCACATGTAAATGCAATATGAAGAATTGTCACTGTTTAAATGTCACTAAATCACTTTGTACTTCTTCAAATGAGTCATCGATTAATACAGCTAGCGAGAACTTGATCCTTAATGAGTCATATTCGTCTAGTGACTGCTTAAAAAATGAATCAACGTCCATGTCGGAAACTGAAAGGCTTAAAGAGGAAATTTCATGTGAAGAAATAAGGCTTTTAAGGGAACAAAATAAGGAGCTGGATAAAGAAATTAAAAGATTAAAGGAACAGCTATGCTGTGTATCACAACTTTTAGAGGCAATTGAAAGTCAGCGATCGTCAAATTGTGGATTAGAAAGTGAAATGAATGAGCTAAAATCAAGGCACAGTCAGGAATTGGAAGAGATTAATTCCAGCTATCGTTCCTCAATATGCCAAAAAATGACCGAGATCCAGTCAATTGAGGATGAATTAAAGGCACAAATTGAACAGAAATGTGAGCTCGAAAAGAGACTCTCTGAGTCTGTTGAGGAACTAAATGGCATGGAAAAATATAAGAATCAATGTAAGGAACTGCGTGAATCCATAGCAAGCTTAGAAATATCACATGAAAAGAGATTAAAGGAAGTGGAAGCAGCTAAGCATGAATGTGCCAAAATTCATGATGAAAACTCGAAATTGACAAAATCTATTAAAGAATTGAATGCGACTGTTAATGAATTAAAGGAAATGAACAGTAAGAAAGAGAATGAGAAAATTTCGTCAGCAGCACAACGAAATATGATCAAGAACTCAGTAATTGAGATTAAAAGATATAATAAAGAAAGAGCATTTATGATCCAGAGCTATGAAAAGAAAATAAGAATGCTAGAGGCTGAAAATGAGAGCCTTAAATGTTTAAGGGATAAATATCTTAATGAAAAGTCCAATAAGAATCAAGTGACATTCAATTCTGAAGATATTCTTATTGAAAAATTATATACTTTCGGCATGAGTTCACTAGATTGTGATGAATTAACAGAACTACATGATCGTATCCGTGTTGCTATGATGAAAATATCAAGGAAGGATACATATCCAGATATTGGTGCTAGTTATTCAAAAATGATTGAGCAATTGTGTCAAAAATACAATATTGGATCATCCAAGCAACTTTTAATTGACAGTTTACCAGTTCGTGACAAAAAGGACATAGATTTATGCTCTACAATCACATATCCCAAGAGTCGACGATTGAGATCCAGGAACTTACAGAAAAGACGCTCAAAATCTACAGAAATTACAAAATGATAAATTTATTTAAATTGAATGTAACAAAAAAAAAAAAATTGAGGATCTCCATAAAAATTGAGCTTTAACTATATCGATTTAGGAATTATTATTTGGTAAAAACTTAGCTGTTTTGATCACAAAACTTATTATTGGTCTGTAGAAGTTTCTGGAAGTGATACAAAACTTGAGTTGCTGCTGCTGCTGCATGATGAATATGAATTCATTGGGTTTTGTTTAAGACTCTCTATTGCAAATCCGATTGGATCTAATGTAATTTGTGCTGGAAGTGACTGTCGACGGTTAGTCTTAACACGTGAAACTTGACGAATGATTTCTGGGGATAATGGAACTGCATAAGTTTGATGTTTCTCTTTACGCTGGAAAAATGTCTTTAATCCATTTCGTTGCTTCTCTTCTGGTGACCAATGTGTGCATACTTTAGACGAAACATGTTTGAACTTATCACCTGAATTCTGGATCTTTTTATTTGAACAATTTTCATTGCTTGGCGTTTTCTGCAAATTTGTTGAATTATCTTTTGTTGGTGTCAAGAACTTCTTTGGATCACGTCGATACGGAATAGATACAGGTATTTTCTGGAAGAATTCAACTACTTTTAACCACATAAACATTAAAATTGCAAACAAATCTCTTACACTAGACATGATTACTGATTTTCCAGCTTCTTGCTTCGATACAGCGTTGATAACTGAAGAGTTTTCGTCAAATTCGTTGTCTTGAATGACATTGTCCATATTTTGGTTCATTTTGGTTTGTTTTAACTATATAATACTGGTAAAGTAAACTAGTATACCTTTTGGTTAATCAAACTAAGGGAATTTGACAGAAAACCGATTTTTCGTAGCTTAACAACTTGATTACCAACTCTGTCTCGTAGTTTTGTACCCTGAAAAGTAATTTAAATTTACAAAAACCGTTGGAAATCTCAACAAGGGTCAGACACTCCAACAGAATTGTAAGAATTGTACAATCCTTACAATCCTTCCATACGAATTGTAAGGATTGTACAATCCTTACAATCCTACAATCCTTTTCATATATGAATTGTAAGGATTGTACAATTCCTACAATCTTTCTATATGAGGATTGTAAGGATTGTACAATCCTTACTAAATAAAAATAATGTTCATTTATTTTTAAAAAATAAAATAAAATACGAAAAATGAAGAAAAACAGTCAGAAATTTTTTAAGAAAAATTATATTGAAAATTACGGAGTTGCTAATGGAGTCACATATTGTTATGATGTATATATCTATATATTCTTATATTTTATACCTGCACAATATATAGGAACACACAATACTTTACTGTGAATCAATTCGAATGATTTTTTATACATTTTAACTTATTAAAAAGTTGTAAAATGTATAATTTTTACACCTGTGACCAGGATGGGTGATTTGAATCAAAAATCAAAATCATAATCTTTTTGAAATGAATTTTAAAAGGGATTTTGATTTAAATCAGTTTTGTATGGGGGTTTTTTTGGATTTTGATTTAAATCTCTTGTTTGAAAGATTTTATTGGGATTTTAAAATCCCTCCATGCAAAATTTTTGTATTCAATTTCTCAAATTATTTTTCAAATCAACAGTTTTCAGTTGCAGTTCCTAATAAGTAGGAATGTAGTTGATACTTTTTTGGCCTGAATCTTGCAACTGGATCTTTTAGATTCAAACATTTCTTAAAGAAAGTTTACAGCAGCCAATGGTTTCATGCTGTTTGACTTAAACGAAATCCTTTTCATGATTTTTAATCTTCTGTGCTTTGCTGCTTACACATAAATAACGGGACTTCATCAAGCATGCCTGGATCTTACTGCATATGAGGTTGCTGCATAAGGAACAGGCCAGTTCCGCAAAAAATTTTGACTTCAAGAGGTGATTCCTTGATGAAAAAGCAACAAAAAAAAATTTTTTTGTGGATGTAAAGGAACTAGGCAGTTCAAGTGCCTATTCTTGCTTATGACTCATTAAACTAACGTAGATTACTTTGGTACTGTAATAAAATATATTTTAGTTTTAAAAAGCATTGAAAGCAGGTAGTTCCTCATATGCAGTAAGATCCAGGCATGCTTGATGAAGTCCAGTTATTTATGTGTAAGCAGCAAGGCACAGAAGATTAAAAATCATGAAAAGGATTTCGTTTAAGTCAAACAGCATGGAACCATTGGTTGCTGTAAACTTTCTTTAAGAAATGTTTGAATCTAAAAGATCCAGTTGCAAGATTCTGGCCAAAAAAGTATCAACTACATTCTTACTTATTAGGAACTGCAACTAAAAACTGTTGATTTGAAAAATAATTTGAGAAATTGAATACAAAAATTTTGCATGGAGTGATTATAAAATCCCAATAAAATCTTTCAAACAAGAGATTTAAATCAAAATCCAAAAAAATCCCTTTGAAAAATCATTGCAAAAAGGTTTTGATTTTTGATTTAAATCACCCACCCTGTATTTCCATTGTTTCGTTCTTTAAATTCAAACAAATAAATTTTTAATATTAAGTTAATATTTCTTCTTTAATAACCTATGAAAAACATTTTTAAATGTTCCATACAATTATTTCATCCCTACAATCCTTATATGGAAAGGATTGTAAGGATTACAATCCCTACAATCTTTTCCATATAAGGATTGTAAGGATTACAATCCCTACAATCCTTCTCATATAAAGATTGTAAGGATTGTACAATCTTTACAATCCTTCCATATGGATTGTGAAGAATTGTACAATCTTTTACAATTCTGTTGGAGTGTCTGACCCTTGAATCTCAATAACCGAAGCCACGTGGTTACATTATCATTAATGAAAGAAAGATTGAAACTTGATTGAAACTGTGCATGACTTTACTAAACTTTATTCTTTATTATTTAATAATTCTCATTGCATGACATCAAGTTCCTTGTAATTCACATTTACTCCTAATTAAACTAAGCATTAATCTCATTAATAAACGCTTGGATATCTTCTATTACTTCTAATCTATTGATATCGATTTGCTCATTGCACATTGGACATTCCTTCGTTGCTTCTAATATTCTGTAAATAATCATATATTAGACATAAATTCTTAAAAATTCATTTGAATCACTTACTGTATCAAACTATCCTTAAAGGCTGGAAAAAGGCACTCAGGACATTGACAGCAATCACGAGAACTTGTCAAGTGATATCCCGTAGCAATACAAATTGGCAATGTATTCTTGCACTGAAAACACGACACTTCCATATTATTTAAATTATTATTACAGAAAGGACATGGACTAGATTCATCTTTTGTACTTTTCCTCTTTGCCATTTGAACATCATCGTCGTCATCATCATTGCTTCTGCCATTTGAGATCGTGTCTTCATCAAAATCATTCAATTGCTTTATGTTCTTTGGCGCTTTCCTTACAATTGATTCAATCTTTTTAGCATACTTTGGGTCAATTTGATCTCGATATTCGGACCGCATCAACATGACTGCATAGTTGAAGGCTGACTTCTTCATTCCTGATCGTTGACATTCGATCACAGTGCTTGTTAGGATTGGTACGATATCTAAAAAGATTAGCAATGATTACATATGGCTATAAAGTCAATACTAGGGTTATGGTCGTTAAACATACGTGACGGGAACTGGGAAATATTCTTGGCGACTTCAACAAGCAGCTTTGCAGCCATTAGATGATCACCTCGCTTGACATGAACTCTAACAAGGATATAGCGATGGAGTAGATTCAAATTACTCTTCATATCACTAGCGACAGTCAAGTTGTTCCTTTTTAGCTCTTGATACATAGAATAAAGCAGGTCGTGAGAACTTCTATAATTTCCAGCGATTTGTTCCTGCTGGCTTATAATGATCGAAGTTTTTGCAGCTTCGCGGTATTGTTTTCGTGCCATGTAAAGTCTGAATAGTAATTTTGGATCCTTTGGTTTTTCATCAGTTTCGCCAAGAAGGAATTCAATTAGTTGACCTGCCAATTTGTCATCATTTGAAGACGCAACACAATCGATAGCTAAAGACAATGCCTGCTGTTCCTCATTGCCAAAACTAGCAGCTTTAATTAATAATTTTAAAGCCTTTGAATACTCTTTGGCGAGGAAGTAATATTTTCCAGTAAGGAGTGTATACTTCTCGTTCTCAAAATACTGAGCAAGTGCTAAGAAATCATTTGGTTTAGCGCCATCATGCTGCTCTAGTAACTCTCCATAATGTTTTAATTTATTCTGCTTATGAGCTAATGTAAAAGCATCACTTATTGACCCACATACAATCAGGAACTGGAGTGCACTCTCATGGTCGCCAATCTTTTGGTAAAACTTAGCCAACATCTTTCCACTGTCAACAGAACGAGATTCAAGGACAATTTCAGAAGCACTGTGTGGATCAGAGAGGTAGTCGAGGTGAATCCTCACGACACTGTCCAAATCATTAGCCAATGTGTAGCTTTGAATAGCTTCACGGAACTTTCCTTCTGATTCCTTTGCTTTTGCATGCAGCGCATGTAGCTTTATGCTTGTGACATTCGGAAGGATTTTGTCAACTTTTTGCCATTGTTTTAGTTGGATATAAAGTCCACATGCCTTGTCATATTCCTCACTTTTCTCATAAACCAGAGCAGCTTCAGAAATTTGATTGACTTGTTCCAATGCCTCAGCACATTCAAAGCATAGCTGTTTGTTTCTTAATTCCGTTGCAATCTGAATTCCACTTGAAAAGTTTCCAGATCTTATAGAACATCGAGCTATTCCACACTTAGCCAGCCTTAAATGTTCTGAGAATGGATCATCGCCATGGATATCCACTTCATTGCGATATTCACCCATAGCTTTTTCATAATTCATTAAAGCTTCAGTATAGTTTCTATTCAACTCTAGCTGCTGTGCATATTCACGTGCTATAAATGGCATTTGATCTTGTGCTAAATTATTCGATAGTGCCATTGCCTGCTCCCATTGTAATAAATCACGACATAAATCTAAAGCTTCAAGAGGATTGCTGCTTTTTGCAAACAATTGCTTTGCTTCGTCATGTCTATCAAGTAAAACAGCACAATGCCCTGCTAGAAGGTTGATGTCTTCATGATGCTTAATATCTTCTAGTGACTGGACCATTGCAGCATCTCCAATCTTACGGTACACACGTATGGCAAAAATCACTTCGAGATCATTGATGCAAGCATTTCCTAACATTATCCAGCTTTCTGTGTCATTAATAGCTATACAAAGATCCCACGCCTCTTGATACTTTTGTAACTTTATAAGCTGACTTAATTGCTCAGATGTCTTCATGGCGATTGAGAATTTATGCGTATCCAACGATATTGATGTTAATTTTCCATTACTATAAAGGCACAATTCGCCGTCATACAGCATTAAAGGAATTTGATCGGTAAGTAATTGCGAGTCGCCAATTTTTCGTACGCATTTACCGTCGACTGAATGTCGAACAAATATGTAAGTAGAACAGATCTTACTGTCAAATGCTACAAATATAGATGGATGTGAAAAATCCCATAAAATGCCACTGACTTGTTTTGGTAAATTGGGTATTGAAATTGAATCTTCGATCGTCTACAAATGGACATGGAATTAATTGATTTAAAATTCAAATATTTTATTGCATATTCACCGGCATGTAGACAAAACCTTGATTGTGTTCATCTATGAATGCAACACGCGTTCCTTCTAAATCAGTAAATATAGATTTAATGCCAATTGAGTGTCGATATTGTATCAGAGTGCTCCAATGTTCCAAAGAAAAGTGAATCAAGTGCCCAACGTCAGTGCCAAAACATAGAAAATCATTTGTTAAATTTAGACATGTAATAATTGTGTCGTGTAGTCCCTGTAATTCGTCTGGAAATATTTTCGGATCTTTGTCCTGTGATGACATCAAGTTGGTTCCAATTTGGGAGTTTGATGTGTTCTCAATCTGAAATGGATGTGCTATAGTGAATTATATATTACGTAAAATTGTAAGCTACTCACTGAATGAAGCATAATTTGACTTCCACAAAGAACAGCACAGTAATCTGTATTCAATTGAATTTGCTTCACTTCTGCCATGTATTCTCGATCTCCCAAGATAACCGGATTATCAGTAACTGAGCGTCCCAAATCATAGAACCAAATTCGATTATTCATTCCACATGCGAGATTATATGGACCGATTGCTAGGAATGTAGGCTCAATTTCTAATGTTACCATCAATGGCTGAGTCTTGTTCTTTTCTGGTGAATAATGGTAGATAGACACTTCAGCCAGGCTTGAAAGGAGAGCAATTCTTGGTGGTGCAACTGCATAAATTGACTGTAACTTTGTAACAAATACAGAGATGACACCTTGACTGCTTGAGACTGCCAATAATTGTCCATCAGAACTCCAATCAACATTCTTCAGCCCAGCTTGATCAGGCAATGTCAAGATTTTCACAGTTTCCTGGAGATTTGACATTGAATGAACTTTAACATTGTTATCGCCACAACTGGCTATTAATTCTAGTTCCTTAGAAATTGCTATGCTGGATAAGGAGTCTCGATGGTTCTTAACTTGCCATAATTCCTGTCCAACTTCACGTGGGTGAGTTGATATTGCCACAACGTGCCCCAATGAAAATCCTAATAAGATATATCCATCTCCAAACCACTTGTGTTGAAGCAAGTTTCCATATCGAGCTTGAAATCCAAGTTCTGTTGGACTATCAGGTTCCGGGAGATGATAAAGATACAATGTACGTTTCCCAACAATCATACTTATTGTATTTTCTCCAGGAACACGTTCGTCCGTTTTCATTTCTGCAAAATTCATATCACTGGGAACATCACGAACTTGTACAGTCCTTAAAGTATCACCTTCATCGTTACTAATAGACATTGTCTTATCATCACTACCAAGAGCTAAAATATTTTCTGCTGACCATGCACCACAAACGATTCTCTTCGTATGCTTTCCAATAATTGGAATTCTTTTCGATGTTTGATGATTATATAAGGCTAAGTTACCTCTCGACGTTGCCACTGCTAAGATTTGCACTTTCTTCGACCAAACTAGACAACTCGGTGCATCACGTAGACCAGTATCAATCAATTGCTTCTTCCTCTGATTTGAGTCCCATATTGTTATGTGCGATGTATTTTGAGTAATAATAGCCAATATGTCTCCAAAACAGTCCCAAGAGAACCCAGCACACAAGCCTTGTAAAATTATTCGCTCTTGCAGTTGACCTTGACGATTATAAATTGCTACGGTTCCATCACTACCGGTTGTAGCAAGATAATTTGTCGTTGAACCTGACTGCCATACAAATGCTACATCACCTTGACCGTGGGGTTCGTCAATTCGAAAAAGAACCTGAAAAGTTCATAACGTGATGGGAAAAAATTATTATTTAAGATTTATGAATATTTTAAAGGATTTCCGGATTTATCTTCAACATACTTTGTCACTACTCATCGTGGTGTCTTAAATGCTACTAAATCTGACTCATTTTATCACTCAAATAGAAGCAAAAACTTAATTTTTAAAGAATCTTTTCATTAGTCACAAATGATTTTTTGTGTATCAACAATCGCGTAGTCAAGGTAACAATGAAGCATAAAAGAATGGAATATAAGTAAAAGGAATAGTAAAAGAGCGGAAAGATGAGCGGGAAAAAAAAGTTAATTCTACCTGTTTTGAGAGCTGGATAACAGGTGGAGTAAGTTGCGATTCTATTTCTTACGTCTTGTGTTCATTCATCACCTGTTCAATAAATAGAAATAAGTCCAAACACTCATTAAGACTATTTTGTAACAGGTGATTGAAATACTTACTATGTGTAGAGAAATTTGCCTGTTTCTTTTGTAAATTCCTTCACCCTGCTAATGACATTTTATTGCCTTTTTTGCAGTCGCTTAATAACTGTTCATATAAATATCATACATTACGATTAATTTGAATTTCTCTTGACAATCTTTTCGTCGTCGTCGTCTTCTTCTTGCATCATCATTCTGCTTTTAATGCTTTTTCAAGTAACTTTGAGCTAACGAGTTTTCCAAGTTTCTCTTTCTCTAGAATGGTGCTCATTTTCGCATATTGTCTTAGTGGGTGCAATTTTTGGATGTGTTTGATTTGGAAACTGTCAAATTAATCTTGAAAAAAAGCGAGCAAGTTTGTAAATCAAAATCGAACATCTAAGACTTCTTGGTCTTGAAATTGATGAAAATTTAAATTTTTTCCAGCACATTAAAGACATAAAATCTAAAATCGTTCCTTTCACTTTTGCTCTTCGAAGGATCTGCCATCTAATCACAGAAAAGACTGCTCTTCTTAGGGGCCATTCACTTATTACGTAACGCTTTTAGGGGGAGGGGGGGTCTAAGATTTTGTTACGGTTCAAACAAGGAAATTTTTTTTTCATACAAATTTTGTTACGAGGGGGGGGGGTCCAAGAAGTCATTTTTTCGCGTTACGTAATAAGTGAACAGCCCCTTATGTATTATGGATATATCCAATCACGTATTATGTTTATGAGTCCAGTATGGTCTGCGGCTCAGAAATATTTAATAGAATCGGTTGAAATTGCACAGAGAAAAGCACTTTGAGTTGAATTTAAAAAAAAAATGGGATTGTATCCGTAAGGAACTGTACTCTCGACAGATTCTACTAGTTTCATCCCTATGCAATCTATCCTCAAATCTCCTCACGTTTAAAATCATCAACCACACTGCAAAAATTAATATTGCGCTTCAATATGTTCATGAAATTCACAATTATCCTACACGACCAAGAGATTTACTGGTATTGCCTAGTTACAATATGATATTCTGCTATTCAAATTTCTTCATAAGAGGACTAGATTGTTTTAATCAGCTACCTGCTATTATAAAAAAGCAAGTATTAATTAGTAGATTTAAAAAGGGAGCTTAAAGAACATCTTTATGAAGCCATTAAGGGTAGTGACAATATAACGTAAATACCAAATTATACAAATTTACATGTAAAATATAAATTACCCTGTTTTTTCGTTATAAGCTAGTAGCTTAGAAGAATAAAAAAGTGATTTTTGTGGCTCACTAGTAGCTTAGTAACGAGTAGTAGCTTATAACGAAAAAACAGGGTAGTTTGAAAAACTTATATATGAAATAAAGAACCAATAAAAAAAAATCAAAATGATTTTGACTTGTTTGAAATTTGTTAAGAGAATTCGATTCTCAAAAAAAGGAATTTTCTCGTTATTAGTGTGCATCTTTTTTTTGATGAAATTTTGAGTTTGCTTGAACTTTTTGTTTAATTTTAGATGAATTTTAAAAGTTATCTTAAGATTTATCTCATGAAAATCAATTTATTTTAAATTTTAGTGATTTTATCTTGACCAAATAATGCATTATGATTCAGAATCGAAAAAAATGTTCAAAAATTCAAAAATTTCATGTTAATTAAACTATGTCCTTTAAATGCCAGATTAAAGATCTTAACTTGAGGCATATCCTATGAAAATATCTCGTCCCAATTTGATGTCTAACTCCAGAAATCATTAATTTAAACTCACCCAAAATTTGTTTACAATTTGTGTATGAAAAAAAAAATATGATTTTTTCTACTTTAAGTTGTTATTTGGATGTCTTGGAAGCAGTTACTAGCTAATTTAAGCTTAGCTTTACATACTAAAACAACCAACTCAATAGAAATCTGCGTATTAAGCCTTAAAAATGGAATTGAAATCTGAGTATTTTTACACTACTTAAACTATTCATAAGTTAAAAAGTCTTCCAAAGACCTCTCTGAAACCTATACAAATCAATTAATTAAGCTTAAATCTATCTCCCATACAACTGGGGACATGCCGTTTGATGCCGTTTTCGAGATATTTGCGATCAAAGTTTACATAAATTTTCATACAAAATTTGATCATGCACAATATTTTTTGATAAACTTTTACAAACTTTTGGTAAAAAATCATGTTTATCCTTTATATTAGGGACTAATTTTTTGAGCAATGAACGAAAACATTATGTAGATGATGCTAAAAGATTCAAATCAAGAGAAATTAACAAAAACTTTCAATTTTCTAATGTGTTGGAAAAATATTGTGCACAAGGAATTTTTGAACATTTTTTCCGAATCTGAATCATTGTGTAATGTAAAAAAATATTTTCAAAACGTGGCTTAAAACTATAAAAATTTCAAATCATAAATTTACGCTAATCATCATAAAAACCAACACTTTTGAGGCTGAATGATAACAATCCAAAAATATTCATTCAAGGTTTGTTTAGAGCGATGGCTACTCAATCATCAAGGCTGTCATCAAAAGTGTTAATCAATATCTCTCGTTGAAAAATTACAGATGGCATATCCATATTTAAAAATCTCCAATTAGTAGTGTCGCGAAAATGATGAATACAAAATTGATAGCAACACAAGCAAGTGAATCATCATGTGCGCTTTAAAAATCTCCTGTTCAATGAGATTTTCACTTGCTCTTTTACTTTTGCTCTTCAAGTATTCTCTTCGCATACACAGTCAAATATATCAACATGCAAGCATATCTAGCTTTTATTTTAAGAAGTAAATCTTACGAAATTCAAGCCCGCGGCATTATGGAGATGAGGAGAACGTTTTGGTTCAACATTCCATACTAAATACTATCGAGAGTAATGAGCGGCAATAGCGAAAACAGCACCTATACAATTACGATTTAACTATAGAAATATGTGTGTTAAGCTCAACTTTAACTCATATAGGCATGTTTGTTTATTTTCTCTTTCGTACGATTGTGTCAGTCGTACGCGAACGGTGAAAAGCTCAACACGTTGGAGGTAGACTGCAGTTACTTCGTATATTATTTTATTTCTCATTATTGAAGAAAATTTACATTTAAATATTTTGTCTTGCAATATTAAAGAAAAAAAAGAAGTTTTTTCGCGCAAAAAATGGTAAATTTGTGGGCGTTAATCTCGAAATATTTTACAATTTAAGCTGAAATGATTTCCAGTTTTAAGAAAAAAGAAAGAAAAAATAATTCTTTGAAAAAGACTTCTAGTCAAGGCTAACGATCGTTTTACATACGCCTTCTTCATTTTTTAAAAAGACACCTAAAAGATTGCCAGCTCCGATAAATTCAGTTTAATTCAATTTGACTGAAAATTGCAATTCTCTCTCAGAAAATGACAACGTGTTCAGGAATTTTTTGTGCTTGATGAAACGAATTGAAAAGTAAAAAGAAATACAAGAGAATAAAAAAAAGAAAACGATACGAAAGAGCTAAGAAAGCAGAGCTGAGCTGAACCAATACAATCGACCGCGAAATATGAATAGCATAAAGTGGCACTTTGTGGCGAAAATAAATGAGTTAAAGAGTCATTAGTGGTGAGAGGCTTGAGTGCGATTTTAATTATGAATTGAACAATTAGTGACATCGATTCTCATAATTTGTGGATTAATTTAAAACGAAAAAATTGGATTAGTTGTGAAATTTAACTGCTTAAATTTGAAAATTACGCACGTAAAACTTATACGTAAAGAAAAAACGTGCAACTCACCCCCCCCCTTAACGTTCATAATTTATTTTATCATTAAAAAGGTGGACAATTTAAAAAACGTTTTTGGTGTGAATTTGAAAACAAATTTTTTTCGTGAATCTTTTTAAAAGACAGACGACAGTTAGAACGTTACATACTTCTTGACACCCTCCCCCCCTCCCCTATGTTACATTTTGTTGGTAAACCCCCCTCCCCCCCAAAATGCGAACGTAATAAGTGAACGGCCCCATTTATTTTTCTTCGAAAACCTTCAATATTTTTCATGATTTAAAAGCTAAAGTCAGTTTCTTCAGAAACGCGAACAATCGATAAATGCCATAAGCTCATTGTTATCAGATCTATGCCTAAACATCTTGCAAAAATCATGTTTTAACCAAACTGAAGTGAAAAAGATAAGATTCTTTCCAAAATATACAAATTAAACTGCTACGAGGTCTATTATAGTCGCTCAGCACAAAATGAAAGAGATGTGATATGCCGTTACTATGTGTTTGTGCGTAAAGAAATTAACTACTGTGAAAACGGGAAAGAAAATTAAATATTTATTCTGAATTTGCCTTAATAATGTTGAATCATTCATTTAATTTCTCAAAAAAAGTATAAGTATGGATACAGTATATATACAAGTCATAATACATGAGATACTTTAAAGAAGAGAAACAAAAAAATTTCATTTCTTTTATTATAATTTCTACAACTCTATAAATGATGAAGAAATAGTAAAAGAAAAAATATTAATATAAAAACGACACGGCAAAGAGATATGAGTGAAGTTTGAAATGGATAGAGTAAAAACAAAAAAAAAACAAGAGCATGGTTATAGATACATATAAAGCATAAAACAGCATACAGCAATTCGTAATCAAGATTTTCCCGTTTTTATTTCCCATCCGCAATTACGTTTCGTGCCCTCTCATTGGATTCTTAAAACTGGTTTTTTTTTTCTTCACTACCAACTACTTGCATCTTTGCACTTCACAATGAAATGTGATCATAATTAAATATAAAAAAAACCTTCAATGTTCTTGCATCTAATCAACGAGAACTTCCAACCATTCAGTCGTGGAGATTTATGTGAAATTGAACGGAAAACCAAAACCAACACTTTCGTGCTTTCTTTTCAATTCCGTGATTATTTATTGGTGAAAATCTTCTCGGAATAAAATAAATTAATATGCATGAGCTTCTCAACAGCTTAATGTGCTCACAATGATCGCTTTACTTCCGATTGTTTTGCAGTGGTACAACTTAAATGTAGCAAATCGTAAATGCACACGATCATTGCACTTTTAAATGGGTTTTAAATTATCATTTGGAATTTAAGTGAAATTGATGATTGAGACGAGGTGGGATGAACATATTGAAATGATTTCTTTGGTGGAAGTTGCTTGGAATAATTCAGAATTGGCTGTGAATTTAAATATTTACATTGAAATGGATCAAAACAAGTTAAGTGCCTCTTGGATAACTTTCAAAAATATTTTGATGGTTGAATTTTTCACAATATCAACAATGTTAATTTGTATAAGGGGCCGTTCACTTATTACGTTACGCAAAAAACGACTTTTTTCGCCCCCCCCCCTTTGTTACAATATGTTACAACTCACAACCCCCCCCCCTCCCCCTCCCTGAATGTTCATAATTTATTTTATCATTAAAAAGGTGGAACCCCCCCCCCCCCCCCCCCCCCCCTCTCCCTAAAATGCGAACGTAATAAGTGAACGGCCCCTAAGCATAATCGCGTGTGACATGAGCATAAACGAGCGGAATTTAGTTACAAAAGACTTGTCAATGAGAATAATGAAATGATTTGACCATTGATGCTAAAAGCTGCCACAACCAACCCACTTCATTTCCCTCAAAACTCAATAAAAAATCATGGAATTTCTAATTGTTGAGCAAACAATAATAAAAATATTTATGGAAATTTGAATGAATAAGTTCCAGCATGTTTATAATTTTTCGTCGTTACATGACATGAATTTTCTATTCTATTACTTTCTTAATCGCTCAAAATATCTCATAAATATTCATCTCTGTCTAACTTTCTTTATTATCGTCACACTCATAAATCTTTCGTGCCTCCGTGTATTTATAACAATAACCGTTTAACCTCTGACACATTCATCATTATATACATTTAACTCCAAAGTCAGAGAATCTCACCTCGAAAGACTTGTATGGTTGGTTTGATAACGAACCTGCTTATTGTGCGACAGAATGCGACAAGCATTCTTCTTATTCTTTTCTTATTCTGCTTGCTATTCATTTTTTTTTCGATAGGTAGGCCCGTGTCCCAATTTATTAAAAACATGAAAATAAGAGAAAAGCAAAAATATTTTTCGTGTTGCTCAATTAGATTTCTTTTTTTCATCTCTTGCCATATCTCTTTTTATATATATATATATATATATTTGAAAATATAAAAGAAAAACTGAAAGTTTCGAAGTTTTGCTTAATGGGATCGAGCAGGGAATTTAAACGCATTTTAATTGCAAAAAAATGAGCGAGTAATGGTGATCGGTATGAGATATCAAGTGTCAATACCGCTGGTTTGGTAGTGTTGTAAAATATGTCAGTAATCTCTAAATTACATCAACGTTACTCATTAGACTTGTGCCTGATTATTTGCCACGTAACGGATAAGATTTGAATAATTAATGGCGCGAAGTTGGCACAATTTGTTTACATAGAAATTAAGTTAAAATCTTTCACTTATGACGTCCGAAATTAACGGACATTTTTCAAAACAGAACAATGGATTTTCAGGAATTTCTATTGTTCTTTTCTTACTGACCCCCCCCCCCCCCCCCCCCCCCCCCCCCCCCTGGACATCGTAAGTGAACGCTCCCTTATCAATAAACATTAAAAGTAGACAGTTTTAAACAGCTATCATAGCTTCATAAAGCCATTAAATCTATATAGACAAACATCAAATCTGACATCATTTTTGTGGTTAATTCTGTAGAAAATTTGCCAACAAGAAAAATGTCATTTTTAAGAGAAGTTAAAATAAATTTGATGATAATCTCAGAAACTGAGTATCTATACTGTCTGACATCATCATCATTTCGTAGCAAAAGTGAAGTTGCTCCTAATCGACTTTGCGGAATAATCTTTTAGGCTAGTTTTTGTTAATAACCTATAAATTCAAAAAAATGTTAAACTTAGCTAGATTACTTACCTCAATTTACAAAATTAATAAGGCCAAAGGCGATACAAGCATGAGCACAATGACTTGGTTAAAATATTATAAAACTGAGTGCCAAAAATAATATTTACTGAAAAAATCTGCAAGCAGTCTTCACATGCTTATCTTGCTGCTTAGATCACCTTTCATCCTTTTCAAAGCATGCTTAATGGACTCACAGATGCTTATGAACAACTTCATCTCATATTGACAAAGATTAATGGATACAATTTTTCCCATACTTTAGTCAAGTGAACTTTCAAGAAACAGAAAACTCAAGGGCAGCATTCCCTTATTTTCACAACAACCTCAATTTGACCATCTAAACCAAGTAATAAAATTTATTTGAAAATGCCAAATTCTACAAGATTAAATACCGATTTACGAGGTTATAACCCAATTGACACAAAATAATAGATTCTGTAGAAATAAGTAGTTGTCATAGAAGGTGCGACAGCCTTCAGAACATTGAAGACTTAATCTTACCTTAGCTCATCATTGGCAATTACAGTAAATAAAGTCTTTAGAACTTAAAGAAGGTGCAACAAGCTTCATTCCCCAATGACTCTTTTAAAAGAGTTATAATATTTAGGAAAAAATTAGCAAGACAAAATGTTAACAAGCACAACCATTCAATTTTGCAGTGAAACTGCGCGTTAAAAACATCATTTATTTTCTTTAACACACAATCGAATTGAATATTGAGAAATCTTTCTTATATCTTTTGTGCTTTCAGTACACACACAATGCTAATAATGCATAGACAGTGAAGAGCATGATTAAAATGTTTAATTGAATAACAAAAAAGTAAGTTTTTATTTCTCATCGGTGCGTCGATTAAAGTGAACAAGAAAATACACGGAGGAATTTTCAAAGGCTGGTGACAGGTGGCAGTGAAGACGAGAAACATAAAAAAATTAAATTACTTATTCAAGCGCGACATTAGTATTTCTTGTGTTTGTCGTGGAAGATAGTTCAGTCCGTTAAATAACATTGCAATGACATCATCATTTGAACGAATAAAGAATGAGTGCAAAAGAAAGGGAGTCTTATGGGAGGATCCGGATTTTCCAGCAGTTCAAACATCTGTTTTTTATCATCAAACACCGCCATTTACGTTTCAATGGAAGCGACCACATGAGCTCAATACACATCCAATTTTTGTAAATGACTCTAATGCATATTTTGATATTGCACCTGGAAAGATGGGTGATCGGTGGCTTGTGTCATGTTTAGGTATTTTATATTTATCTAAAGGACTATTTTATCGTGTCGTACCTGCCGATCAAACCTTTGATCAACCATATTTTGGTGTCTTTCGTTTTCGTATATGGTGGTGCGGTGAGTGGCAAGAAGTGCTTGTTGATGATCGATTGCCAACAATAAACGGGAAATTGGCATTTCTACAAGCACAACACTCAAATTCATTTTGGCCTGGATTGTTGGAAAAGGCTTATGCAAAGTAAGTTTATTGCGACCGGATGCATAATGCGTGCAACTTTTTCTTATCAATTATTATTATTTTTTTTTAAATCTAGACTGCACGGCTCATATGAGGCACTTAAATATGGAACATTACTCGATGGCTTAGCTGATTTAACGGGTGGAATTACAGAATCAATGTCCATAAAATCTGATCAAATTAACATTCGCCCACCTGTTCTACATAGTCTTCTAGATTGCACAAGTATCATAACGTGCACAATTAATTCAAGTCTAACCAACAATAATAGCAACCTTAACAACACCATCAATAATAATAGTAATAGCAGCAATAGTAGCAATAACTCAAATAGTCATCATACAACAGCAAGTGGACTAAACTCCGGAACAAATTATCGACTTTGTTCTTTGGATAAGGCGGAAACTTTAATGGGAGATACTGTTCAATTGATAAGGTTGAGAGATCCATTAGCTGATTCGTCTTTTGGTCAAACTAGCGGTTATAATGGTGATTGGTCATCATACTCAAATCAATGGGAACGAGTATCAATGCAAGAAAGAGATAGGCTTTTAGGGCAGTTGGATGTTGGTGAATTCTGGATGTCATTCGTTGATTTTATCACAAATTTTACTCATCTCGAGTGTGTTCATCTTGATTCCGATACAGCACGTGATGAACCATCACTTACAGACCGTTGTCGTCGATGGCTAATGAGATTATATCAAGGAACATGGAAGCGCGGTATAAGTGCTGGCGGATGTAGAAATAACCACGATACATTCCATATAAATCCACAATTGCAACTAGTTCTAAACGAACGGGAAGATGTTATTATATCATTGAATCAGCACAGCGTAATGGAGCCAAAAGTCATTGGATTTACGCTTTATAGTCTAAACAATTTAGCACAACAAACCAAAATTACAGAGTGCCTACCGAAAACATTTTTCAAGAAACATAAGTCGCTACTTAATTCTCAATATACAAATTCGCGACAAATTAGTCAGAGGTGTTCATTGGAGGCGGGACGATATCTCATTATGGCAACAACATTTGAACCAGCTGAAGAGTCTGCTTTCAGTGTGCGTGTCCTCGGAAGTTCAATTCGTTTGTCATTACTCGAAACACAGACAATGCTTCTTCTTGATCCATTCCAGACAACTGGAATATCTGGATCATCTTATAAATTAAATCAATTGAATGATGATGTTAGCTTAACGAATGGAACTACTCAATATGAGCCAGTATTTCTGCAGCTAGCTGACGATCATAAGTAAGTGATTTAGAACATTATGGCAGTGTATTCTGGGATAATATTGCCTAGATTAAAGTATGCTGGGTTTCTAGGATTGTTCTATAGCTCTTCTAGTAAAACTAAGTCTTTAGCTGTCCCAGAAACTAAGATTTCAATCTAAGAGAGCTAATTATGTCCTTGTTTCAATATTTCAGAACAATTAACTGCTTTGATCTTCAAGAGCTCTTGGAAGCATGCTTACCAAATGACTATATTCGAAGTTGTGCCAATTTAGATGTGTGTCGACAAATTGTTTGTCTAATGGATAAACAAAATCGATCACGAATCACGTTTAATGATTTCAAACTCTTTATGATTAATTTAAAGACATGGTAAGAGTAACATCTGTTATATTTCTCATTTATTTCTATAACCGTTCACATGACATTTTAGTAATAACAATATATATTTTTTATGAATATTTTATAGGCAAGGTGTGTTCAAGATGCACACAAAAGAAAAAACGGGAATTTTGAGAGCAGAAAGATTTCGTGATGCTCTATGTGACGTCGGATTTCAACTCAGCACTGACATTCTTTCAATATTGATTTTGAAGTAAGAGGAAATTGACTTCCTATTGTTAAATTTTTGCGCTCGCTGTTGAGCTGTAAATGATTATGCCAGACATTTTATTGACAATTTTAAATCAATTTTCATTTTAGATACATGAGACGAGATGGAACAATGAGATTAGCTGATTTTGTGTCTGCAATTCTTCATCTGACGATGGCATTTGAGCTGTTTAAGAGTAAAGATACTAATCAGGATAATCAAATTAGGATGAACCTTAATGAAGTAAAATTAAATGTGAAAATTAGTCAAGAAATTAAATAATTGATGAATTAATCTCTTTCAGTGGATAAAGTCGGTGCTAATATGTTAAATAAACTCATGAACCATACGTACTAAACAATGAGGATAGACAATACGTCTCTTTTGTGATTTTGAAAGTTCATTTGACTCTTCTTTAATGATGGAATTAATTATGACAAGACAAAAGACATCGAAAAATATTATTTTGTTGCTGTATATCATTAAAAAATGTATTTAAATTAATTTATAAAAAGATTTTCGCTCGTTTTTATTTTCAAAACAACAAAAAAAGAAGTCCAACAGAAAAAAAAGAGAAAAGGAAAGAAATAAAAGAAAAATATTTTTAATACTGTAGCTCATTCGAGTTTTATAAATATTTGTGGTTGGCAACTATTTATGCAAAAATTTATCGCTTGAAGACAAGAACAACACGTTGTATGAAGTGTTTGCTCTCAACTCAACTATATTTATTGGAATGTCATTAATACTTTTACGTTTTGAATTTGTTTTGATTTTACGTGATTGAATTTTTACTGAATTTCATTAGCTTATATTGAGTTTATTGACCAAGTTTGAGCATTTTACTTTTTATTTTGTTTGTCTATCGATTAAAATCATTAAGAATTCTGAACTTACTTTCTCTTTAACGGATTTTTTTGAATTTGAATTTTGAACCTTGAAGAAGTTTAAATTTTTAAAATGTCGTTATTTTTTTTCATTTAAAATTTTTAAGATTTAATTTACAAAATTGATGTTAAAATGATTTTGTTTTGATATAATGAAGATCTAAGAAGTCAAATCAATAGCTTAATAGCTTGAATATTTTGCAATTTAATTTAAAGAACTCAATTTCAACTTAATTCTATTTATAATGTATTAACTTCACTCAAAATTCCACTAACATCCCACTGTATGCAAATTACTTTTAAATCAGGTTCTAAATTAGAAAATCAACAAATCTAAATTCTCAGTCACTTATTTTATCCATTACTCTATCAAGTCATTCAGCTTGCTAATAGAATAATTCATACTTTAATGTAATTTATAAATTCTGCGGAACTTCGTGCTTATCATATTCAATTAACAGGAATACTGAAAGAAATTTAAATGAATTTAAATAGAAACAACATTTTAATTTTTTTTTCTTTTAACATTTTTTATTATTTTTTTTTCTGCAAATCTTTTTTTTCTTTTCTTTTCATTTCGTGTATCTCAAATAATCGTCTGTTCTTATGAAATTTATGATTTTTTTTGTGTCATTGTAAATGGTTTAATACAAAAAACTGATCGAAAAATGAAATTAATTTTGGTTCATTCGATGGGAGATTTTGGGTTTGAAATTCGAGAGTTAAGTATGAATTTTCAATATTTTTTTCGCAAAACTTTTCATATTTCAAATCTATTCAAAAGCACATTCTAGAAAAGTCTTCATAAACTTTTCAAAAATTCTTAAATTTGTTTTATTCTTAACTTTACTGTTCAAGAATTGATCGAAAATGATTTAAATGAAATTGATAAACTCAGCAATCTAGCTTAGATTCTTTTCTAATCCCAAAAGTCATAAAGATTCAATATCGATGCTTTTTCATTCTTTATGTCACTTAATCAGTTAAATTGATTGCAAAAAATGAAGTTAATGAAGCTTTAATGAAAACTATTAGGTTATGTTCCTGGTTATGTTATGTTCCTGTAGCTAGTATATATATTAAGTTATTTGGTCGACAAATGTCATTTCTACATTTACAAAGCGTGGAATTAAAATGTTTGTTGAAGCTTCATGTTTTCATCAATTTAAAGAATCAGAGTGACACAGAATGGGCGTTAGGGCACTTCTAAGCAACTGTGCTTATGACTCAAAACTTTTAAAATCTATGAGAACATTGACAAAGTGCTTTTATCAAGAAAATATTAAATTTCCCGCATTATGTCGCTAGTTTATTGAAAATTCATATCCAAAACTCATAATTCAACTCCAAACTCCACATCGAACATGTTTCTCCCAATGGACAGTTCTAAAAAGGTTCAATTATCCATAATTTCACTAGCATTACTTTGTAATTAACCATTGAAAAATGCATCTTTTCTATTTTATATTGTTATGTTTTGTAAGGGAAATGAATAATATGCTTTGTTTTTTAGTAATAAATCGCTTGATACTTTTTTTTATCATCATCATTATTAAAAATGTGCTTTTTATCATAACAGAGCTTCCATTTTTTTATGCCTTTTTATACAAATTTATTCACAAATGATTTTTTGTTGAGCTCTGCTTGAGTAATTGTCACATTAAAAGGTACAATTAGTCACTTATTATCATTTCACTGTCGCATTTCAAACTATCTTCATTCTGTGTGAGTCTCACACTCCAGCCACATTATACAAGCTCTTCATGTCGATCAGTTTTTCCCTTTTCTGTCCAAAATTTATATTAAATACTGCACAATCCAGATTATAAGTTGTTGTTTTTTTTACAAAAGTTTTTCGATTTCTTTGCTTTCAATTTTCGTATAAAAGTTTAGACTTGAATGTATTGAGAATCTTTTTGGGGATGGTGATCATGTAAGTGTAGTCTAGAGTCGAAATAAGGCAACAATTTTGAAGAATTTTTTTTGGATCTTGCTTAAGTTTTGGTAATTTGAGCTTAATTTGTGGAATTAAGGTTCTATTTAATGATAATATTATGAAGGATGAGATCGAAGACACTACAAACTATTTTAGCCTGCGAGTTGATATCAAAAGGATAAGAATTTTCTTTTTTCAAGAATATCTCAAGGAAAGGTTTGGATCATATTCGAAGAGGTAAAGCAACACTACGAAGTAGAAATACTCAAAAGAACCAGATCCAACTATATATAAACTAAAGAATTACAATATTTTTGTGCGTATAAACAAATCCAAGAGTATGAAACTGATCAAAATTGATCGAAATGCGATTGATCAGTTCCTCACCATTGAACAAAGCACGAAATTTGACGATTTCGAATCAAACTCTGACTACAAGAACTGACATATTAATAAATCCTCAAATCACTCAAGTCTTTAACTGCTTTCAAAAAGGTTTTCTTTTTGTTTGAATGATCTCCAAACATTATTGCAGTTTTCAGTTTAATCATTCGACGAATTGTTTACACATTTTTTTTGCAATTGCTGCCACTTTCCAACAGTGACTGATCCAGTTTGAAATTAAAGAAAAATCATTCAAATTTTCAATGCTTATCGCAGGAATCAAATGACTGCTTAAGCTTACGAAATTTTTTACAGCAGTCATTTGCTTCCTGGATTCTTAAAAATATCCTTCATGTCTTCCTATATTGCTATTCATTTGTTTATCAAATAGGATCAAAATAATATTTTTTTTTTGATTAAGAAAATTACAATCTTAAATAATCAGGATTCATGTCCATGTACGCATGCATGTCTCACAGTTTTCTTTTCATCTTAATTCATCACAAAATTTATATTATTTCAGTTTTATTGGACATTTATCCATGTAATTTCAAAGGACTTAGTACATTCTTTATACCGTACGTAAAAAAATATTTGATTGTGTGAGAACTTAATAAAAAAAACTTATTTTTTCAGGGATTTTTTTAAAGCATTTTTTATAAAATTTTTTTCATCATTTTTAATCATTTTTTCATTTGTTATTTTAGGTGAATATGTATTTTTGTAAATTAGCGATTAAGATGAGGGGTTAGAGGGACTTTGTAATAGTTATCAACTTTGTAACATTTTCTTGTGTGTTTTTTGTTTGTTTTTCAATCTTATAAATTAATTAATCAAGTCAACAACAGTCGAAGGTACCTTAACTGTTTGTGGTACTCAACTGTCGTCACATAATTGTCGCTTTTGTTCTTAAGTCTACAACTACTTTTTTTTTATTTTCCGATGTTCGAAAATTTACAATTCCTTAACACATTGCGGAAATTTTGTTAGATTTCTTAATGCTTTCTCGTAGTTGTTTTTGACAATGGCACACTTTCTTTTGTGTTGACTGCCGCATGTCCAACGAAAATCGTGCAAACTTGTTCTGTAATAATCAGACAATTGAAAGTTTGTTTATTGTTTTTTAGGAACTTGACCAATATTTCTTTTATGAATGTCGAATTTTAGGGAGGCTATGCAAGACCTTGAAAGTGAGGAAATTCCTTTCGTAACCTTAAAGTAGGCTTTAATACTTGAAATAGGTACTTGAATATAATTGTTTTTTTTTTCAGGTTTAATGTGAAACTTTTCATGAAGTATGGAAAAAAATGTATGCCAAGGTTGGCCTGAATATTTAAACAAATCTGATTTTTAAGGAATCGATCTTGCTTTTGATAAGATTGTGATCTCAGAATTGAAATTGAAACCTCAACTCGGTTTGAACTTAAACTTTGCTTTTTGCCATAGGTTTTAGATCTATAGCAATAGTGAACAACCTGTGGCTCACAGCTGTTTAATAAGGTGTATAAGCTGCTGCAAAAACTCATTGATTGTACTTTAAAGGATCTTTTGAGTCAAACTCTAGTTGTTCTTCTTGGTTAACTACCAAGATGCTATTATTTAGGATTTTCAGAAGCTAGAGTCATAGCAAGGGTGATTTAGGGTGCATTAAACTAAAATCAAGATCTACCTGCCTATAATCAATAAGAAATCCAACAAAACTTCCACAAAAGAATCGAATTGATTCGATTGAAATAAAAATTATTAACAAATTGTTCCGATGCAACCAAAACATGACAATTCTTTAAATTGTCGTCTCTACCAGTCATCGACGGTTAGGGAATCAAAAGAAACAAAATTATCAAGGGCTTGTTCACTAAAATATTTTGTTTTTGTCTTGAGCGAACGGCTAAAGTTGGAAATCGCTACAACTCTATGCAACTCAATAATGATATGGCCATTTTATATTGTCACTCAATCCTCTAATTCATCACTTCTTATTTACTTCCCCCCAAAAAAAAATTTTAATAGCTTTTTCTTCTTTTTATATCCTTTAAAAAAAATTTATCTTGTCATCCATAATGTTTCTAATATTAAACCTGAGAATATGCAGTCTTTGCCCCACATTCGTTATCCACATTTTTTTTTGCATCCCCTAATGTCTCGTCGTCACCTCTCTAAATAAATTTACTTCAGTTCTTTGCCGTTCCTTATCACTAGATTTTTTTTTGTTTTATTTTTTTAAATTTTAATTTTCTTCGTAAAAAATTTTTTTGTTTTTCCCCGACCAACCCACTCTATACAATTATTAGCATACCGTAAAAATCACACTCGTTTTCTGATTTCTTCCGAAAAATGCAATAAATTTTTTGAAGAAATGGAAGGAATCTCCAACTCTACAACCATCGCTCGTCTTTCCAAAATGGATTTTATCTCATTTTTTTCTCACAATGTTTTTTTATTTTTTATTTTTATTCTGCTTTATCAGCATTTTTTTTCTAACCGAGAGACACATGGTTCTTGAGTCAGTGATGTGGCTGTTATTTAGTAAAAAATTTGTAAATTAATGAAGAATTCCAATATATGTAGCTTTATCCATAGTGGTTACCTATTTTAAAATAAACTACGAGTTGTACAACTGTTGCGTAAACCTGATGCATTGTTGATGACATCTGTTGTGTCACATGGATGGATAAGCAACATTAAGTTACAGTGTTACGTATCAAAATCGTCACAACAACGTGAGTATTATGTTGTAGCAAAGTGGCAATTACGTATCATCAATGTTGCAGCAACATGGCAATTTCGTATCATCAATGTTGCAGCAACGTGCCAACTACGTATCATCAATGTTGTAGCAACGTGGCAGCTACGTATCATCATATTGCAGCAACATGGCAATTACGTATCATCAATGTTGCAGCAACATGGTAATTACGTATCATCAATGTTGCAGCAACGTGCCAACTACGTATCATCAATGTTGCAGCAACGTTGAACCTAAGTTGGGAGCTATCTATTGTCAAGGTTGCAGCCACATAGTGACTATATCACATCAACGTTGCAGCAACATTAAAACCACGTTGTTGCAACGTGACGGTTGCTTATTGCCAGTATTACTGCATATTGATTTTTTTATGTAATCAAGGGATTTACCGTACATGCATTCACGTAGGAACGTTATCTAAATGTGTCAGTGACATTGCTTCAATAAAGTTATTCCAATTTTTTTTCCTCAGAAAAATACGTAACAGCTGTATATGTGCGCACAAGTTTTTGACGTAATCGGTCAATACAACAATTTACGAACAATAAGTATTGCAATCATGTAACAAGTATATTGGTCGCAATAATGTCATGATATAACAACCACATTGGAAATGCTCAAAAGCTACACACGTGGAAATCATAAAAATGCCGATCAAAAAAGTGCCACATCATTGCTTGTGTCGCTCGGGATTTAACACAAACTTTTTTTTAAATTTTGCAGGTTTTTAAAAAAAGTTGACGAACAAAAAAGGAAGTAGAAAAAAAATAAAAACAAATAATTGAAATAAAAAGAATTAAGAATTTCGTTGTAAAAAAATTTTTTACTTTGTCTTGATTTTCATAAAATTGATTTTTTTTTTCATTCAAATATAAAAAATAGACTTTTATTGCATTTTCTTTATCTCATCGAAAATTTTTTATAAAAAGAATCGTTTTTTTATGCAAAAAAATGTCCAAGTGAGGTTAAATTCCTAGAAATATGATCCACAGAACGAAAGTTATCTTCATGGATGATATTTAAAGGATTTCATGTCCACACAAGTTTGCAATATTCTCACGTGATTTCATAAAAGAATTAGTAAGGATATGCTTAAAATCAAATTTAATAAATACACACTATCTCATAAATCCTATTTTTTTCTGACGATGTTAATCAACAAATTCGTTATAACTCATTATAGTAAAGATCTATCCATCTTGTAAAACTAAATCTTAACAAGGAATCAAAGTTTTTATTTAGCACTTAAGTTGTAAGTTCAATATGCATTATGCATTTTTTTAATTGCAAAAATTTAACATAAATTTTTGACACACACATTAATGTACCCTTATTTTTGGTATGAATGGCGTATGCTTGAATGAAATCACATGATTATATTGACTCCCGAGTCCGGGAATTGATGTTCACAATTATATATAAAAAAAAGTCATCTGAGAACTTTTGTTTTGTGTTTTTTTAAGTAAATTTCTCTCATTTTATAGGCAATAATTTTTTTTTGGAAGATAAAATTTTACTCAATACAAAAATTATATATTTTGGTGCCACAGATGTTGTGCAGTTTAAGGATTTGTAACAAACAAGGAGTTTTAAGAAAGCGTTTCACGTAAATCACGAAAAAAGTTTCGCACAATCTGTGGACACCTTATGACTAAAATTCTTTCATTATGGTCGATCCAAGGACGCTGCTTGGATCTTATCACGATCATTATTGAAGCACAAAGTGAGTAAAATTCTATCTTTCTTATTGTTTTCAAAACGTTTATAAACAAATTTTGGGAATTTTTTTCTCGAAACTGATTTTTTGAGCCTTTTTTTCTGTGGGATTTTTTAAGGAATTTGGAAATTTTTAAGTGAGTTTCAACTTTAAATACTTTAAGTTCGAGGTTGACTCTCAGAGATCTTTTAGAGTGCAGTTTTTAACTACTAGGCAAGATGACTAAGTTTATCCGATAGGTTAGGTCTGTGAAATAGGTATCAATGTAATAGATATTAGAGGTTTTAGCTTAGTCCAGGTATACACAAAGACAACAGCATTTTCAGAGATTTGGAGTCAATCATTCCTCTGTTATTGAACATCTACAATCACAAACCAACCTCTGGATTGATATGGCCAACAATATTTTCATCACTACTTTTAATTCTTGCCTAATTTTTGGATTTTCCAATAAAGTTCAAAAATATTCCAAACAATTTTAAAAATTCGCCACAATAAAAAGTCCCACAAATCAGTTTCGGTATGGAAAGCAGGAAATAAAAATTTTAAGGTTTCTTTCAAAGTTCAAAAAACTAAAAATTAGAAGTAAAAAATTAAATTAATTTTATAAAGTAAAAAAAAGAATCTACTAAAGGTAAGGTTGTTGTTTTTTGTAGAAGATTAGTAGATCTAACAGCATTTTAATGGACACATTCCAAGATGTTTCTCATCAAAAGCTAGTCAAATCACTAAATCTCCTTTACACTGAGGTTTTGTGTTTTTTTTTCTTTTAAATAGTTAATAATTTTTTTGCTGTATTATTATTAATATTATTTAAATGTTTTTTTTTTGTATTTAGCGCATTCTTTGCTTAAGGAAATGCGATTGATTTCTTATAAATTATGATAATAGAAAAAATCTGTTCAACACAACTTCCCGTCCAATTCAATCCAAATTGTTTTTTTCTGTTCATTTTCAGGGAATCAAAAAAATTATTAAAGTTCATTAGATAGTAAATAGAACTACATAATAATAGTAATAATAATATTAGAAACTGCATTTAAAAGGATTTCTTGTTGATGTTCTGTTTCTGTTCCATAATTTAAGATTATTTTCCAGGCATAGACGATTAATTACTCAATGAAGGATGTATAGTTTGATAGTAGAAAGAGATAGTAGTAGATTTAAAAAAAATTGTAGTTTATTAACCACTTGGCGTTGGACATACAATGTATAGTTGTCGTGCTGAGCGACGACGTGATTGTAATGGACTTGCAACATCATCATCATTGACGCATTTATTAATGATATTATTCATACCGCCACCACTTTTATTTGTATCACTAAGGACATTGTCCAAAATTGTCTGAATATCCTCATCTGATGATGGCTCCGATGGTGTTGTTGGATGGGATCCGCGTGATGATGACTCACTGATGTAATGGATGTCATCCTCATCGCTACTACTTAATTGACGATTTGTCGGTGGTGGCAAATCAGGCATTAAGAATGAATCATTTGAACTGCTATGATGTGGATGGTGTTGTTGCTTCTTTTGTTGTTGTGGGATTGGTTGCGGTTGTGTCTTTGCTGATGGTTGATAAATGTTGGATCGCTCCTTGTTCAAATAATTTAGTTGCATGGAAAATTGTTGTAAAATAACTCGGTTCACAGCCATTGCCGACTCAGCGAATTGAGATAATTTACGAGCAGATTGATTGCTGTAAGGAGAAATAGATATAAGGCCTTTGTTTGAATTTAAACAGTCATTGATTGTTATTGATAAATTTCGACTAGCGTGTGCGCAAGATAATAAGCGCGTTGTCAACAAAATATCAACAGCAAAACGTGATGCTAATCATTCATCCCAAAAAAATATAAGCTCTACATACCTTCGAATAATCCCTGGAGTTTTCAACGCACGATGGCGCTTTCCGTTGTCACAATTCTGATCAGCGACTCTTATCCAGGGATGGGTTAGTACAGCCTCAGCTGATAGTCGCTTCGATGCTTCCTTGACCAATAAATTACGAATCAAATCCTTAGCTTCATTACTGACGTCTCGCCATTCGGTATCAGGGAAACAAAAACGTCCTGGAAATGACACAAAAAGTTAATAAATTTTGCCACAAATCTTATAAGTTCCTGTAAGTTCTTACCTTCACGAATAGACTCAAATAAAAGTTCTTGACATTTCTGACAGTTTTCACCTCGATTCCAACCACATTCTTGTCCACAATTGCCAGAAAATGGTGGATAGCCAGATAGCAAAATATAAGCAATAACTCCCATTGACCACAAATCACATCTCTTATCGTAGCTGCTCTCACGTTCGCCAACAAATAGATCAACCACTTCAGGTGCCATAAATTCAGCACTTCCAACCTAAATTAGTGATAATTAAATTAAAAATAGTCATTAGTTATAAATTCATATGAAGCAATTGAGGGTTGTGCGACTTGGCATTTTATACGATAAAGTAAGTGTTACATGAAATATCAATTTTTTCTTCTCAATACTCTTTAAAGTGTTATCGAACAATACAGCAACATTGTACGAGCAGTCTACTGATAACAACAATGGATGATGAGTGAACAAAATATACGCAAAAATAAATCTTTATTCTTCTCGCCTTACTCTTTTCCTTCTCGCTCGCACGCTACCGAGGTCACGCGATAAGATAAACTCAATTTTCGTTTACCGGCTTTTGCCTCTCACTCTCTCAGTAATTTTCCAGAATAAATTATTTTTAGAAATTAAATAGATTTGATTATGATGATTATTCTCATTTCCTGGGTCAAATCTGATTGTGAATTAAGAGTTCTTTAAAGATTCTTAGTGTGAATTATGATTCAAAATCCAAAAGGGTCTTAAATTAAAAAGGGGCCCCAGGGGGGGGGGGGGGGGGGGGGGGGTCAGCAAGAAAAGAACAATAGAAATTTCTGGAAATCCAATGTTCTTTTTTGAAAAATGACCGTTAATTTTGGACGTCATAAGTGAACGACCCCAAAGAACAATTCATTTAAGAGATCTTCAAACTAAAAGTCAAGCATAGTTTCACACCCTTAATTGCTTGTTCACAAATAAATTTCCGAAAAGAATCATGAATTATTTAATTTGAAGGCAAAGCTTAAGTCTAAGTTTAATTAAAGTCTACAAACTTATTAAATGTAGACTGCGATGATTAATTCAGGCATTTAAATCAAAATGAAAACTAATCAGCATTTGCAAACACCGAATTCACGTTTCAAAATACGAAAAAAGCAGATTCCACGTTTATTAAGAGAACCTTGAAAGTTAATAAGTGAAAAATTCATTGCAAATCTTTCTTTTGCGTCATTAAATCAAATGAATATTGAGATGAAAAATTGTACAATGTAGGTTAAGTCGTGTGATAATAAAAATTTTTCTTTATTGCCGTAAACAACTCTTTTTTAAAGTTATAAGTGGAAGCATTATTATCGCTCATTCTATGTGTCGTCTCGTGGAAATAAATATCAACTTTGAAAAAAAAACAAAATAGCTCTAATCGAATGACATACATACACAAGCATACATATCCATGTATTGCAAAACTCGAGTGAGTGACTTTTTGACTATTTAGATAATCAAAGAATTTTATTTATTTGATGCGTAATTAACTTATTTCTTTCAATGTCGATCTACATATTCCGCAGTCGAAATAATTTGCGAAAATATATTTTTTTAAGAACACGAGATTTGCGAGTTTTTTTGTTGTTCCTCATAGAGTCAGAGAGTGCGTAGAAAATCTCGATGTGCTTACAACAATGTGTGAGGCTTTAAATCCGGTCATTTATATGACTTTTGCTGTCTATACTTAAACTTTTTCGCACACAATCTGACATCTTCTTCTTCATTGGCAGAAATGTGTAAACTTTAAGTTTTTTTTATCATCGCAAACAGCATGAAATCATTCCATAATTTGCGTTTTAAATTTTTTGTTCACAGTCAAATAAACAGGAGGTACGTAAGAATACTTTTTTTTTATCGTACGACATTACAATTTCTAGCAAACGTGTTCAGACACTTATTCATCTTCATTTGTCAAGGGAGTCAGTCTGTTTACAAGCTGGTCGAAACCAGTAATTGTTGTTGACAATTTACTTTATTTTGTAAATTGCATATAAAAAAAGGAAAAGTTATATCTGAATTTATTAATGATTGTGTCTATTGAAGAGGTTATTTGCATCAGAAGAATATGACTTGCGAATTTGCTCGCGATGTGTGGCTATTTGCTTTATATAAATAGTCGTACAAATATCAAATGTCCTTGAGTCGTGCGATAAACATGTCGTTCTCAATATTTTCATGTATTTGTCGAGACATGGACATCGCAAGTCGCACAATATACAAAATACAAGAGATATAATAGATAACTTACCGGTGTCAATAGTTGCGGTGTGGCAACCGATTCGGAAAGATCAGTCGTAAAATTAATTCCCGAGCCGAGATCAAAATCACATATTTTAATGGGACAAATTGTGTCGGGATTGACACATAGAATGTTTTCAGGTTTAAGATCACGATGCGCAATGCCTTTCTTATGCAAAAAGTTCAATCCTGAGGCAATCTCTTTGATTATTTGTGCTGCATCATGCTCAGAAAAGCAAATGTTTTCTTGAATGCGCGTCAATAGAGGCCCTCCATTGATCTTTTCAAATACTAAGTAGAACTTCTCCTTATCCTCAAAGAATTCTATTAATTGAAGAATGTTTGGATGTCCTTGGCAATGATGGAATGTCTCCACCTCTCGAAAGACTCGAGCTCGTGCATGACCTGGTATCTTATCAATAATTTTAACGGCACACTCTACTTCGGTGAATATATTTATACATGTTTGTACTGAGGCATAGGCACCTTCTCCCAATATTTCGCCTGTCAATTTATACAGTTCTGCAATCAAAAAAGAAAAGATAGAAATTTAATTTAATAAAGTCACATTGCATCAACTTTTATAAAGAATAATGTAAAATTGTATTTCCACATCAAAATGGTAATCAATATGTGTTACGACGAGTTGAGTTCAGTTAACGAAGTAAAATATTTCTTGGAAAAATGTGTTATTATCATGCAATAAATTCTCTTGAGCTCCTTACATATGCTCAGTCGAATGAAAATTTACATAAATTTCAATTCTTCATTCTCGTTTCAATCAATATTATTATTTCAGCATAAAGCAATCAGCGGAGCGAAAGAGTTATTGCTTGAGGGTGGCTAGAAAGCATATTTGTTGTTTTTTTGATTTTCATTCTTATTATTTTTGAAATTTTGAAACTTGTCGGTTTTAAGATTTAAAAATTTAACGGTTTTTATTAAATTTGAAAGTTTCTTGTTATTGAAAAATTTGAGATTTCAACATTTTTTTTAATTTGAAAATTTTAACGGTTTTCTTTAATTTGAAAATTTTAAAGTTTTTTTTTTTAAATTTAAAAATTAAACAGCTTTCAAATGAAGTTTTTAAATTTTTAAAAACTAGATTCATAAATTTGAACTCATCAAAAATTGAATCTAAATTTTTAACGGTTTTTTAACTTTAAAAATTCTTCATTATTGATGAAGAAAGTAACAAATTAATTAAAAATGATAAAGAAATTTCTATATAATTAAAATCAAATGTGTAATACACATTTCCGCAAAAATCTTGTTTCCACATGAAACTTCTTGATTCACAAAACACACAAAAAAAACTGCAAATGGATTAGAAGAAAAATGCTCTAAAAATAAACAGAATGAAGCATATTGGAATTATTCGGGCTAGATATGCTGCTCCATTTTTAAACGTTTAAAAACTATCAGAGCCAATTCAACGGTTCTTTCACACTATTGCAATATATCCATATAATATTCACAATATTTTCATGATCTCGACATATGTGTTGAAGATTTTATGTACCACAGCATAGAAATGATATTTAAAATTTACCATCAAATCGTGTGGCTATTGAAAGCCTCTTTCTACGACATCGCCGTCTGTGATGAACATTAATGTTTATTGGCTGTGGTAATATTGACACTGTCATTTTCTTTTGTTTAATTGATTTAAGTTTATGAGAAATAAATTGAATTTATTTTAACTTTTAAAATAAAATTTGAACACTTTAAAAAGATCACACGAGAAGCTATAAGCTACAACTGTTCAGTTCTACGTCCATAATAAGACTGCTCGATTTGTTTTTCTGTTTTTGTTTTCTTTCCGCTCGTTCATCTGTTTTTAAGAATTTCATAATTACAAATCAGATTGCTATCACAGAACGATAATGTACGAAGAAATTGAGGACATAAACATGTAATAAAAGAAATAGGCAAAGGACATAACAATAAATTAACACGTAGGTACACGTCAACTGGAACAATTTCCATGAAAAAAAACCAAAAACATTTGTCGCATCTTCGTATCTGTTTTATGATAAACTCAGGTATAGACGTCAATAACGGCCAGGAAGAAGACAAATTCTCAAATTTCATTTCGTCATTTGCATGACGATCACCGGTAAGAGAGCATCAGTAGCAGCAGCAAAAAAAAACCCGTTTTATAAAAATAAAAAAGATTTGCTGACATGACGCGACATTCGAAGATCCGCGCATAAAATTTTTTGTGATTCACGACAAAGAAAATAATCTGAGTAAAAAAACTTGAAAAATTTCATCATCCTTAAAACATTTGCACGATGATACGTAATATTCCTTATCTCACCTTTTCTGGATGAGTCATACATTTATTATTATTATTACTTGATATTTGTAATTATTCAGTTTAATACGAAGTTATTAAATTTAGACCGTGCATAGACGTTGTACTTAAAACATTTCATAAAGTTTAAGATTTGTTTCGTGATTCAGAAAAATTACAAATAGTTTTTTGCTTGTTCGCGAATCTTCTAGAATTCGAATATTCGACAGTTATCGATTAAATTATATGACAAAAGTCGTGTAGAAGTCAATCGAGATGTTTCGAAAGCATTGAGTGAATGAACTTCCGAAAATCAGTGGCAAATATTTGAAGAAATTTCTTTTAATTTGTGAAACGTTCGATAAGAGTTGACATGACTATTTTTGACTATTTTGTTTGTTAACAAATCATTACTATTTGCTCAACAATCCTTCACGTTAGTTGATTTAGTTTTTTTGAATATTGTTTCAATTTAGTGATTTAAATATCTAATTAGTCGGTTAATATAGTCAATTAAGTTGTTGTTTAATCAATTAGTTTAATTCTAGACTTGAAATGTAGGAATTATTATTCTTGAAGGTTTCTAAGGTTGTTAACTCTAAAATATTATTAAAAGAATATTTTGAATTTGAATGTGATCTTTTTGTTGCATACTTTGTACCCCTTTGATTGTTTCAAAGTTGACTCCCCCTTTTTCATCTAAATCTAGATCTTTTGCTGAATTTTGAGCATCGTTTTTATTCAAAATTGTGCTTTCAACTAGTCAAAAATCATACAACTACGAAGGAGGGCATGAGAGTTATCGAAAAGAGCAGCTATTGTTTTTCTTAGAGATGAAAAGTATGGAAAAAAAAGAATACTTCCTTTAAATTCTTTAAAAAGAATTTAAAAACAAATTACAAAAAATCAGACTTTATTTCCAAAAGAAAATTTTCAAGATCCAGTTCCCATAATCTCCTCATAAAACATCATCAAAATAATTCCAAGTAACCGATACACCTAATGCCAACAATTTTCACCAATTCGCGGTAATTTAAGACTTAATCCAATTATTTTACAATAGCCAACGTGACTCATCAAACCAACGATTCAACACTTCTGTGGAAAATATTCATAGCTTTCAATTATTGTACATTCGCCACTTAACATATTCGCGTTCAATTAAAATGAATTGAAAATTTACTTATGCGGTAGCTTTTGTGCATGAGACTATATCCATACCTTTAATGTATTCCCTTGAGTCATAATAACAGCTTAATAATAATAAAATAGGAAGTTGATATTAGAATAATAATAGAAGAAGCTCAAGTCAAAGTGACATAGCTGAAGGATAGGAAAAATAGAAGCAGAATTGTAAACTTCCTGGTCGGTACGTGCAATGGTAATAGTGACAGATCGACAAACAATATTTTTGTTATTTTTATACATTTTTTTTCTCTTCATTTCTTAATGTGCGATAAATTTCATAAATGTGATTTTCTCTTCCTCGTTAGCACGTTTTTGTCCTCCAGTATGCGCATCTATTTCTATAGAAACGAAAATATTTCAATTCGTATTTTATTATAAATAGAAATTTCTTGTCAGTTTTTCTCATATCTTGGCGACTACTGTTTGTTAAGAGGAAAAGAAGAAGGTGAGAGCTAAATTAATAAATTCACATTTAAAACTAGAAGAACTAAGTCGCAAATCTATTTTTAATTTGCGCAAAAAAATAGGCAGCATAAAGAGTTGGAGATAAAATATTAGATATTTGTATAGTGTGGCATACTGAATGTGAATAGACCGAGAAAGAAAAACTGCTTATTTGCTTTCTTTTTTGTATTTGTGAATCATTAATGCCGAATTATGCTTTCTCACATGAATTTTTCATGTCATCAGATTCACGCTCTCAATTCAATTTATCTACAGTCCCTATGACCTCGTCGAAACTGTGAGGTTCCTTTTCATCTCTTCTTACAAGTCGTGCAGCAGTCATGAAAATATATTTACTGATCACAAGGAAAAATCATTTTTTGTTTACGACAAAGGAATTTATCTCTACTCGTGTCGTGTGACGTGACCAGTAGCACATAAAACAGAAAGAAATTGTAACTTTTTGCCGCCTTTGTTTTAGATAAACGCGTTATTATACTCATTTTGACTAGCGGGATTAATGCTTTTATAAACTAAACCAGTTTAAGTGCTTAGAGTGTATGTAACATGTTTGTGCCATGTTATTGAAGTGAACTCTGTCCATTTGTGCCAGCAAATGGTTAGTAAAAGCAGAATTAAGCAAAAATACTTTTTCAAGTGAAGAGAAATCGTTCAGTAAAAAAAAAGTTTCATTTCCGTTCAGTTCAAAAAAAAATTAAATTAAAAACCGTTAAAAACTAATCCATTATTAAGCTTCGTTTAAGTCATCAACCTTCAATAACTTTTCAATCCAATTTTGAAGGGCCGGTCAGTTAGTTGAACTGATTCATCTAATCGTCATCACGAATCTATCTAATAACATGTTTGTCTACCTCATACACTCCGCACAACTCGATCATAAGATATTTTTTTTTTCATAACAATTTTTCAAGCTTTATATTTTTTTCATAGTTTCAATGTGAATGCATTTCACAATCGTACCAGCGTTCAATGAACGGATTGAATGCCATTTTGATGCTACAGCGCTAGTTTTTCTCTCTATCGCTCTAACTCCGCGCCTCTTATTTAATTGTCTTGTCGCGAGTTACTTTAATGATCTATGTATCTTGCTCTTAAATGTGTGCTGTTGTTGTTGTTGTTTTTAACATTTTATTTGGCTGTTGTGCAATACATTTACTAGCTTGACTTTTGTTAGATGAAATTGGTTGGACTATTACAAGTTCTACTGACAATGGGTAAATTAAAAGCAGTAAAAATTGGCGCTTTGATCTTGAGATGACAATACAATGAGAGTACATTTGTCGCACGGATAAATTTATTTGAGCACCGGATATCCATGGCGGGTTACATTCAATTGTTCATTTGAATTGAAATGTACAAAAAAAGAGCATAAATACGACATAAAGAAATGAACAACTTTCTCTGACATGACCGTCCGCCCCTCTTTAGACTTTAAATTAAATACCCAAAGTGCATCTCTGACTGTCACTTTCGACTCATTATAATATCTGTTCTGCAATCGAGCACGGAATCGTTAATGAGCCAATCCCTCTTGAATCCCTCCAATCTACATACTTACACAAAATAATAATAAAATTAATGTTTTTAACCGAGCTGTATATGTATGGCAGTGCTGTGGCTGCACCTACCTCGACTTAGGGTATATTTTAGTTTTTACACTAAGAGGATATGTAGAGGTAGGGTTAGGAGTAAGTTTAGGGGTAAGATATAAATCGGAAACCCAGCCCTGGAACAAATGCAAGCCATAGATACATAAAGAAAGAACAGATACGTCAACTATATGAAAACCTCACTCATTATGTGCTGCTAGGGTTGAGTATGATTTTTTAATGCTTATTATTCTAAATATATACTACATTTAATACCATTGCCTGTGCTATGCTATTTTTTTACAAGCTTCAAGATGGTTATTGGCATGAAGGTTAGCGTAGCTAGCTAGTGGCATAGAAAATTTATTTTTCTCTCATAGCACTGTGAAAATCAAATAAATTATTTAAAACAAATTGTCACATAAAATACGATATTTCTCGCAGCTCGTAAGGAGAACTTTAGTAATTTACTTACAGTGTGACTACATATTTTACAATTGACTTCAAACTCATTATGGATGCATATTGTCTTTATACGTGAATAAATTTACTTAAGCTAGAGAGAAAGAGTCAACTTTAAAAGTGTCTTGAGACGTTAGTGCGTGTAGACGAGCTTCAACCTAAAAAAAATGTACAATTTTGCTGAGGCCAATAACCTCCAATTTGTAATGTTTATGCTGAGCTTTTACGTTTTTTTTTTGTATTTCAAACCTCCACAGGAAATTTTTATTGAATTAAAAAATACTGTCTGTTTACATGAGTGCCCATAGTGCTCAAAACCGAAGGAGATGACGTCATTGACTGTGTCGAAATCACAGTTGTCATTCGCAAACGCGAGGATCCACTATTTTGAATTTTATGGCTGATATACGTAAAATATTTCAATTTCGCAAAAAAAATGTTGCGTTGATAAGTTTTGCAAAGTTTTATGACATGCCGATATGAATTTTTAAGTCAAGGGGTGAACAGCCTAAAGGAAAAAAGTCTGAATAAGCAATTTAAAATTTCTCATTGACATTTCTTTAATTTTTACAGACTTTAGAAATTTTAATTCAAAACTTTTCTCATCATGTTGTTATCCCCCTTGCTTTTACAGCTCGCAGATGTAGACATCTCGCATCAAATAAAAAAGTGAATGTAACAAAATAAAAAAATTAGAAATTTTTCCATGCACTGTGCGGTTGCTGTCCCAAGTTTGTTAACTAGCAACCTAAACTAGATTTTTTTTTTTTCATTTCATTTCAACAATCAGTTTTTCGCTTCCGATTTTTCCATTTATACTGTAGCACAAAAGCATAATGAACATGTTGAATATGATGTATATACAGAAAGCACACGATAAAGCAATATAAAAAAAAGGCCAGCATCGAATGGAGGAAAGGAGGAGGCTTTTTATTCATGTCCGATCTTATCAAAAAGCATGCTTGTAGTACCATGACGAGAAAGTTCATATTTATGGTGGCTTTGCGCGATGTGTGATGCAAGTATCACAGATTATTTGCTATTTTTAACAAAAAAAAAAAAAACTTCAATATACAGCGAATCTATGTACACAAGATGACGAGCGACCGAGAGAGAAAGAAAAATTACATTAACGACTGCAGATGGCGTCTTGCGTCTTCTCGCACACACTAAATTGACTGCATTGGAAATTAATTGAAAAATAGCTGTTAATCTAAATGGATTTAAAATGTCTCAATATCAATTAAAGTGATTCATTAGAGGCAAAAATCATAAAAACAAAAAAAAACGATAACATTTAATTTTGACCTATATTTTCCGTCCGAGTAGCGAATGTCTAAACATTTGTGCTATGTAGAATTGAATTAAAGCCGAGTTGTCGCATGTATATAACTAAAGCTAACCAAAGTATATAATGATATTTTTCTAAGTGTCATTTTGCATGTGCATTCAGAGGAATTGATGAAAATGTTGCAACCCACAATGATTCAGAATCGAAAAAAATGTTCAAAAATTCAAAAATTTCATGTTAATTAAACTTTGCCTTTTAAATGCCAGATAAAAGATCTTTCCTTTGTGCATATCCTTTAAAAATATCTCGTTCCTATTTGCTGTCTAACTCCAGAAATCATTAATTTAATCTCACCCAAAATTTGTTTACAATTTGAGTATGAAAAAAGAAATGTGATTTTTTCTACTTTAAGTTGTTATTTGGATGTCTTGAAAGCAGTTGCTAGCTAATTAAAGCTTAGCTCTACATATTAAAACAACCAACTCAATAGAAATCTGCTTATTAAGCCTTAAAAATGGAATTGAAATCTGAGTATTTTTACAAAACTTAAACTATTCATAAGTTAAAAAGTCTTCCAAAGACCTCTCTGAAACCTATATAAATCAATTAAATAAGCTTTAATCTATCTCCCATATTACTGAGGACATGCCGTTTGATGCCGTTTTCGAGATATTTGCGATCAAAGTTTACATAAAATTTCATACAAAGTTTGATCATGCACAATATTTTTTGATAAACTTTTGAAGATGCTAAAAGAATCAAATCAAAAGAAATCAACAAAAACTTTCAATTTTCTAATGTGTCAGAAAAATATTGTGCACAAGGAATTTTTGAACATTTTTTCCGAATCTGAATCATTGTGCAACCGGCTAACTAGCAAAAAGCTTGTTTAATGTATGTTAATTTTGGAATCAACATGAATCTCATTCGGTGTTTAATTATGCTTTAAATTACAGTATTCATTAAATATTTTTCAAAATTTTTAAATTTTACACAACCGTTAAATCATTTGAAATTAAAAAACCGTTGTAAGATTTCTAATTTCAATCAAATGCATTTCTAGTCATTCGCTTATGTTTGTTTCTCTACAAATGACTCAACTTGAACTGAATATTTTACATCATGAACCCAACGAGAGTTCATAGATCCAATTGCAATTTAAGTATATACATTCAGTGTGAATTGCATAATGATGATCAGATAATTGCGAATATTAGTCAGTGAAAAACTAGCTAGTAGACAGTAGAAAAAAAAAATTGAGTCTTTACCTTGAAAGCAACTTGATTGAATTGATGAGCTAGTACGTTTCTTGCGGCGGCGTTTGCGTTTAAGCAATTCCTCCTTGCGACGATTAAAGTCAGCTTGTCGCTCTTGCTCTGTCCATAAATGCACTTCATTAGATTCGTTACCGGAATTCATTTCTTCGCTGCTATAGCGAGTAACCTCGGCTGGTGTTCGAGGCTCGGATTTATCTGCATTGTAGAAAATTGGAAGATTTAAAATTAGAATCCTATTCATATTTTCTAGATTTTTCCATAACACAGCAACAGATGTGCTCGAGAAAATTCTATGTAAAGTTATGGATATATAAACTGTCGAAAAAAATTTTCCATAGAATCCGTTGTAACGAATATTAACGTATTTTTTTCGATTGCAAGTAGATTGTCATGCATCATATGCGGTTGTTCAAACAGTAACAAAAAAAAAGACACCGGGGGAAATGAGGAGTGCATCTGAAACTGCGCATTGTTCAAATATACGGGCTTACAATTATAAAAATTCAATAAAAATTTATCATCATCTGTCATTTTATCAGTCACAAGCAGCAGCATAATAAAATAAAAAAATTACAATTCATTTGCCAAAAAGCGTTCAGTATATCCCTTGTACTTTCCGCAGGTTGGTGATGGTAGATTCACAACACACATTCATACATAGAAAGACTTTATTTTTATCCATATTCTGCCTTTACAGTCGCTCGTATGATTTTTGTTATTGTTGTTCATCGGCTTTCTGTTGCTGTTGTTGTTTTCCTTCCATTCCCTCATTCTTATGTATACATACAATCGCACTCTCTCACTCAATATCATCTGTGTAATCACTAACACAATCATAGCCATTAAGCAAGACCAACGCAGCAGAATGAGAATGTGTGAGTGTAAATATACAAAAATATTTTGAATTGACGTGTTAAGAATAATTTTGCTGTTCATTGGCAAGAATACCATGGAAAAAAAAATCTTCAGACACAACAACAATCGCATATGATGACGGAATCTTAATTTAATTAATACAATTACAATGTTTAAAATGAGGAAATCTTTACCCGAATTAGCATCTGATGGTTTTTCTTCCAAAATTTTTTCCACCATTTTTGTTGCTCTCTCCAATAAAAAAACTTCTCAAAAACAAAATTTTCTGCGTAATATCTCCCGATGCTGATGGAAACTTTTTTTTATAATAATTAAATTCCTATTCTTGCTCTGCTAGCTTGCCCAAAATAACTTATTTTTTAATTTATCTTCTTTTTTTCCTTAATTACTTTCTTGTTAAGCTCTTAGATAAATATTTCAAAGAACGGAGGTCTTTGAAATGAATTTTAATCATCTGAAGGATTTCTTCGCTAATTCTCTACTAAGATATTATTTGGCTTATCTCAATTGATAGATTTTTAATTAACTTCTTAACTTGATTTTTTTTTGATTTTTTCATAAATTTTTTAAACGAAATTCAAAGAGATTTTCTTCTTTCTCTCGTTTGGATCGAATGCATTCATAACAAAATTATTAATAAGCATAAATCGATTCGTAGATGTAGGTTGGTTGAGTGTTGTGGTTGTGTAGGACAAAAATTTCCTTTATTCAGTGAAATTTTGCCACTTCTCTTGCTAAACTTTCTGCTTGCTTTATTTTTTTCTTTCTCGCAATAATAATAAAAACAAAACTTTCAGCCAAACTGGAATTTTTTTCTCTACTTCTTCTTCTCTCGTGCCGATGTAAATCAATAATAATTCCAGATCTATTTATCTTTCCTCCTATTAAACTTCTTTTTTTAAATATTTTTTTTTTCCTCTTTTACAGCGGGATGAATGGTGTGGATTTTATAAAAACCGATGATTGTAAAAACGCTAATATAGCGAGACACACACAAAGGCCGATGTTTTTCATCAAAAAGAAAAAAACTTCTTTGAGTTTTTCTTTTTCCACAAATTCACTTCACTCCATTTCACTTCTTGGTCTGTCTCTTCCGATCTTTTCTCACAAACTGAATTGAATGAAACGAAAAAGCGACGAGCAAAGCGATGTTGAGAGAAACAATTTACTCGAGTTTATTTAACTATTTGAGTTTGTTATTGCACAAAGAGCATTTGACTGTATTAGTCGTGAATCCAGAGAGAATGAGAGAATTTCATACAATTGTGGAAAAAGTTCTAGAACATTTTCACTCAGTTCTTGTAAATGTTTATATATATTTTCATGATAGATTTTTTTTCCACTTTTTTTCAACCAATAATCTCATTATATTGAACATATCACGAAATCCGTAATTAAGAATCAAGTTAAGTTTAAATTAAAACCGAATAGGTTGGTGTTAAAATAAAAATCCATGAAATGTTAAATTTCAAATATTTACAAGAAACTCACAATAAAAACAAATATTATTATTATATATATTTAATTTTTTCATAAGATCTG